GAAGGGGATGACAGAGGATGAGATGGTTGGATGGCATTACCGACTCGATGGACATGAGTTTGAGTAAACTCTGGGAGTTGGTGATGGACAGGGAGGCCTGGCGTGCTGCGATTCATGGGGTCACAAAGAGTCAGACACGACTGAGTGACTGAACTGAAGAGAGCAAATCCTAAGAGTTCTCAACACAAGAAAAAATTTTTTTCTATTCTTTAATTTTGTAATGAGAAGAAGGGTGTTCACTAAACATTGTGATAATCATTTCATGATGCATGTATCGATAAATCAAATTATTAAACTGTACACCTTAAACTTGAATGCATGTGTGCTCAGTTGCTAAGTCGTGTTTGACTCTTTGTGATCCTATGGACTGTTATCTGACAGGCTCCTCTGTTCATGGAATTTCCCAGGCTTGCCATTTCCTACTCCAGGGGTCTTCCCGACCCAGGGATCGTACCAGTGTCTCCTGCATCTCTTGCACTGGTAGGTGGATTCTTGAGCACTGAGTCACCTGGGAATTCCACACCTTAGACTTATACAGTGCCATTTGTCAACTATGTTTCAATAAAACTAGAAGAAAAATAAATAAAAATTTGCTGTATCCTCAATAGGTTGCTTTTTAAGGATAGTTATGCTCCATGTTAAATGATCTTACAATGAATAAGTTATTTGAATGGGCTTCCCTGGTAGCTCAGCTGGTAAAGAATCCATCTGCAATGCAAGAAACCCCAGTTCTATTCCTGGGTCAGGAAGATCCCCTAGAGAAGGGATAGGCTGCCCACTCCAGCATTTGTGGACTTCCCTGGTGGCTCAGCTAGTAAAGAATTCATCTGCAATGTGGCAGATTCTTACATTCAACCTTACAATGAATGTTATTTGAATAGTTCCCTCCAAAATTGCTGATGAAAAGAAAAAGAAAGGAAGAAAAGGAAGAAAGAATAATGGCAGGGTCAACAAATTTGCCTCAGTCACTTTTTTTTTCCTTTTCTTCTTTTTCTTTTCCCTTTATGTAGGAGACATACACTAGTACTCAACTTCTACTACTAGACTGCCAGTCCTGAGAACTTTCACTGTAGCATGCTATGGATATACTTCTGCTCTTAAAGGAATGAGGAAGAGACATATACAACTCAATCACACTTAAAATCATTGCCTGGATGCATGCAATGACTGGATGATATGTATTTCCTCTAGTTTTAAGAATAAGTACTGAGAAGTTATTAAGAATAAATCCTGGGAATCTCTCCTGGGAAGATCTTTTGAAGTCAATCTCCTTGGATATCAGAAAGTTTTTTGCTACATACAAGGTACTTTTCTTATGAGGGCTTGTGAACTTTGTAAATTCTTCAGAGCTTAAGTTCTCATTTTTCATGGCAGTGCCCTTTCCCAATTATTCCACACACTGGAACAGCAGAGCTACCATTAAACACATCATTAAAAATGACAGATCAGGTCCTTACACCTGACTAAGTTAGCCCTGAGTGTAAACTGGATGCTTGGGGACATGCACGCTCTCCTTTGGCTCACTAGGGTCATATGACTGCACTGAAGCACAGGTAATTTACTAACTGGTGAAAAATCTGAGCTGGTGGTTAAAAACTGATGGAGATTTTGGCACTGCTGATAGAGTGAGTACTCTTAATATCTGCTTTCAAAATAATACCTTCCCAATTTGGATTGAATCAGTTTAAATAGATATTTGTATCTGTGCTTCACTTCCACTAATATATTTGGAGAAAATGTTTCCCTAAGACTATAAAGAAACACTAAGGGTAAGACCATGCATAAGGACAATATTCTATTTACCTCTTTTAAAAAATACACCACACTGCCTTTCTATTCAATTTTGAAATATAAGAGAACTTCCTGAAACATTTCTTAAGCACCATCAGTCTTAATCCTCTCAATTTTTAGAAATCTATGAATATTATTTGAATCGTACTATATACAAAGCATTGTGCTGCTGAACTCATCCATACCTTGAACTACTAATTTATTTCTTAGTTCTTGTCTTAATGAATTAGACTAGTATAGATCAAGAGAACACAGCCAGGGTTATATCTCCATTAGAAATGGAACTTGAATCTTCTCAAGGTCAGTAACAATGTTATCTAAAATAAAACATGTTCATAAAATACTACACTCCTTGCAGAAACCAAACAGAACATACTCAAACAGGTAAAATCTGCTTTTACCTCAACCTTGATTCACTTTGAAAGTAGTTCTGCAGCCTACACTTCAAATAGGAAACTTGGAATCGCTTGTTATCAGATCGTAAACAAAATGCCTATATTATAAAAGAGTTCATTTTCTCCAAACATCTGAATTGTCAAAGAAATATTGAGCTTCTTTATATTACTCAAAATAACACTGCATTTAGAGTTATATAGCAGACTTGTGAAGTTAAAACTCAAAATACATGAGTTGGATTTTTTAAAAAGCAGAGGGAGAAAAAAGCTAAGCTGGCCAGGGTTAAGAGGCAGCGGCACACAGCCTCCTCTCGTCTGCCTTTTATTTTTGTCCTGCTCTGCTTACAACTTAAGCAAAAGGATCCTTGGCAGATATTAAAAAAAAGCAGGAATTTAAAATCATTTTTTAAACTAATTAAAGGTATTTTGGAAATAGTCCCTTGCATTCTTCATAAGGATTACCAGCAATATTTTGTGTTGGGTAAAAAAAGAACACTATTTCTCTTTTGAAATGTCTGATTACTAAATTTATTTTCATACAAATGTTAAAACTTCATGATCATGTTCCAAATTGTTTGGAACTGCAGAAGAGCCAAAAGGAAAACTATGAGATTTAGAATTTTGAGCTATACTATACCAAACACACCATCTACCACTTTGTCTGGAAGAGTAAATTATTTTTTAACTTACTGCTTCTAAATGATTTTTTTTTTTTTACTTTAAATAAGAAGTAGGAAAGTGACTATATATTTTATATCAGATGAAATATCCTATCGATTTTTTTAAGCAATTAGTTTTTATCTTCAGGCTTTCCATTTCAAATGCAAATACATCTTGATGAACTCAACTCTGTCCAAACAGTATACATAATCAACAATGGCAAGGTATATTACAGAAACTTATACTGAGGCCTAATTTAAAAAAAAAAAACTAAACTTACAAATGGCATAAAGTATTTTTTATTCAATCACTGAACGTTCTCCAATTTATTTCCAACACAAAGCAGTGGAAGAGATCTGATATTGGAGAGGCCTATGCATTGATCACTATCTTGCCTCTTCCTGAGAGGTTCCCAGTATCTGGACAACATCAAGGACTATCTGTCATAAGCTGGAATGTTGCTCAGGGGTCAAGCCATCAACTTTGCGGCAGTTTCCTGGATGACATCAGATTTAGAACTTTTCAATGCTATGCAGCTGCAGGCAATAATAATTTGTTCCTTGTCTAAGAATAAGAAGATACTAGAAGAACTGTTTTTCAAAAAACCAAAAAATGCAGAAGAAATAGCTGTCTTCAGGGAAATGGGAGTTGGGATGCCCTACCCCAAGTCCTTATTGCAATGTATTTTGGAATGAGACACTGAACTCTCTACTGACATCCCAGTCTGTGGCTTATTCTGTCCATATCATTTCTTTCAAGGAACGTTTTCCTTATATCTGGCAAGAAGAAAATATTAGGGCTTATCTCAAGCCCTAATATCATAACCTTATCTTATAACCAAAACTTTCCTCCTGTCATTGCTTCTTTTAGCAGCAATGTCCTATGATGAAAAACTGTGATAATTTTCTAAATGTGTTTACAAGCAACTTTCCAGGAACACAGGTCTTTTGCTAAGGCAGGAACATTTGTATTTACAACACAGATCTGAAACACCTACATGTTTGTCTGTAAAACAGAGCATGTTTCTCTTGGCTGAAACAATGTTTTATCTTCATATTTGAGCAGGAATTTGTACATAGGTCACCCTTGGTATTTTAGCCAGAAGAACATGTAGCCACTGGTTTTGTTTTAGCAAAAGCAGTGAAGTTTAACAGCATAAAATATGATACTTCTACTTTTGTGCAGGCATACAACGTTACCATCTGAAGCCTTCTTTAATTCAGTTTTCAGTTTTTCTTTGTCTTCTTCTAGTTTTTTATTTTCTGCTTCCAAAACGTGTTCTTCTTCCTTGCCATAGTTTTTCAAGAGCTATCAAAAAAGAGAGTTATAGAAAGAAGTAATCTTAGATTGTAATAGCCAGACATTTTTTTAGGAAAAGAGCTAAATAACATATTTTAAATTATTGGCCTTTATTCTTTGTCCTTTTCAGTGCTTTATACTTTTTTACAATGTAAACTTCTGTTAACAGAAAGTTGGTATTTGGCAAACACACACACACACACACACACACACACACACAATTTCTTCGATGACTGAAACCTCTGACATGAAAATAACAAGAGTTTCTCGCTGGGCTACAATTAAAATTATATTTTCAAAAGTATTCAGATAAAACATATCTTTTCCTTAATATGTGATGTTAATCTAAGGAAAAAAAATAGTTCTGAAGATAATATTACTTGGAAAGCCTTTATGTTCTACCTGCAGAGCTGTCTACTCAGACTAGTTTTATATTGATGATTTGTAAGAAAAGAACATGTTTTCAGGATAGAAATGGGTAAGTGGAGTATGACAGGGCCACCTTTATGCTTGGACAATTTTACCTAATTTACATTGAATGGTCTCCAAATTACTTTTATCCAGTTAATCTTTCACAATATTCTTCGTATTTTCAAATCTATTCTGGCTTTTAAAGTGTTTGTTTTATGTTTGTAGCTTATCTTTTCTAGGCAAGAAAAATTAAGATCTGAATAGTAACATATTTGACTAAAATAAAAACATCATATGTTAAAAATTTCATAGCCTGGATGGAAATCATCAGTGTTAATAGAAGTAAGTAGCTGACATCAAAAAGACATTTTAAGATGTTTAGTTAAAGATGTTACATTAATGCTTGAAAAACAGAACATGTACATATTGACATAGGTTATCTGGCTGAGTAAAAAGGCAGCAATTTGATACAGAAAACTTCAACAGTCAGGAAAAAAAAAAATTAACTCAGGACAATTTAAAATAGACTGACATAGAAAAGAATTTCTACTGCAGGGTGATTCCTTTCCTGATGTAAACTGACATATTAAAACACTGATATATTAAACAAAACAAAATTACACTTAGCACTGCTACTACTACATGCAAATATTCTACAATACTACGTAGTATAAGGAGTAAAAATATAACAGAAATACAATCTTTTGCTCTCAGGTAAACTCAGGCTAGTAGAAACGACGAGATGAGCATAAATACTGTAGCACAAGATCAAATACAATACTGCTGTGTTACAACTGAGATCAGGCAGATCCAAAGGAGGAATTAAAACTTGAATGAATATATAATTCCAAGAATATTTTTTTAAGAGATAAAGAACTAAAGTACCTACTAAAACCGAAGAAGTCTCACATCTTTAACATAAAAAAAAAATTTTTTTTTTTTAGAGCAGAGACTAGGGAAAAAAAATCCCTCTGAATTCTACAGGTCTGTTGACCACTTAACACAATCCTTGCTATTACTTCACTTGAATTCATTTCATACAGTCTTCAGTGATTATCCAAATTGGAAGAGAACCAATGAGTTACAGGAATGCTTACACTGACTGCCTGAATTAATATGCCACTGACTTGGAAAAGTTGAATTTGCTGTTGGTCTTGTAAATAAGCTTTCACTAATGCACCTATAAACCTGTTCAACTTTATTATTGAATTATTATTATGTGTAACTTGATGCTGGAGAAAGACCAAGAAGCCTGGAATCTGAAATTTTATAGCTACCAGCTACAGTAATGCACATGTAAACTGTCCTACCCACCTTACCCCACCGGGCTAAGTGGTTGGGAAAAAACAACTAAGAAGTAAAACTCCATCATTGTTGTTATTTTAAAGTAGTCATATATAAGTTAACTGGTCTTTCATAATTATTTTATTAACTGAATATCATAGCAGAATGGGGTCCCATGCACCATCTGCAACTCATCTCATGGGCTAGCATATGATCGAAGGGAACAAAACAATGTGGTTAAGAGTGTGGATTCTAGAGGCAGGCTGCCTGTCTGGATTCAAACCTTAGTTCTGTCTCTTATTAGTGGAATGATTTTATACAAGACACTTAACCTTTCTGTGCCTCCATTTCTTCATCTATAAAATGCAAATACTAACAGCACCAACCTCCTAGGGTGGTTGCAACAATTCAAAGAGCTAATACCTTACTGTGAAGCATGTGAAAATGTTAGCTATTATTTATAAACTTGAGACCCAGAACAAATGTGGTGACTTGCCAGATCACAATGCTAATTAATTACTGGTAGATTTGGGACTGGCACCCAAATCTCTTAAACTTTAGGGTAAAACACTTTCCATTAGATAATGTGTCTCTTATAGAGAACGAAGAGATGTTTTTACCATTATAAAATGAGATCAAAGGACAGAAAATGAAGCAAATAATATTAACGTACAAAATAAGTCTGACTGTGTTGCTGAAACACTGGTGACATACTGTTTGCTTCTGAACACAGAAACACTGACACAGCTTGATGACCAATGGAAAGTTACAGGACTTCTACGGACCAAAGCTTTTTTCAAAACAGAACAAAACAAAGTAAAAATACAAACCAGTGCTTATTCTTGAAATGTTTCCTTAAAAGATGCTGTTAAAATCTACCCAAAGAAACATTTCTGAATCCTATTTGTGTAGTGGAAATAAGGCAGACATCATAAATAAAACATGTGTTTTTGAACAGGTGACCATGATACTGTAGCATCAAACATTTTTTTGCAATCCTTTATTTAATAAGGGATTTAATAACCCCTTATTGCATTTCCCTTATTTAATAGGTGGTGGAGAAGACTCTTGAGAGTCCTTTAGACAGCAAGGAGATAAACCTTGTCAATCTTAAAGGAAATCAACCCTGAATATTCATTGGAAGGACTGATGCTGAAGCTGACGCTCTAATACTTTGGCCACATGATGCGAAGAGTCAACTCATTGGGAAAAAACCCGATGCTGAGAAACACTGAAGGCAGGAGGAGAAGGGGATGACAGAGGACAAGTTGGTTGGATAGCGTCACCAACTCCATGGACGTGAGTTTGAGTAAACTCCAGAGATAGTGAAGGACAAGGAAGCCTGGAGTGCTGCAGTCCATGGGGTGGTGAACAATCAGACTTAGCAAATGAACAACAATTGTTTTAGAGAGCTTTATATTGTTCTAGTTAATAGGTAACTCTTTTAGAATTAATAAAAGGTGATGCTTAGAGTCCTTTCTGTAAGAGGCTAGGCTTTAGGATTTGGGTAATTCTCTACTGTTAGACTTACTTTTTACATAAATATGAAAAGTGAAAGTGAAAGTCACTCAATCGAGTCCAGCTCTTTGCGACCCCATGGATTATGCAGTTCATGGAATTCTCCAGGCCAGAATACTGGAGTGGGTAGCCTTTCCCTTCTCCAGGCAATCTTTCCAATCCAGGGATCAAACACAGGTCTCCCGCATTGATTCTTTACTAGCTGAGCCACAAGGGAAGCCCAAGAAAACTGGAGTGGGTAGCCTATCCCCTCTCCAGCAGATCTTCCTGACCCAGGAATTGAACTGGGGTCTCCTGCATTGCAGGAGGATTCTTTACCAACTGAGCTATCAGGGAAGCCCTTACATAAATATAATTTGATGTAATTTATAATTGATTGCACTTCATTAATCTGTAATAGGGAAATAATCTTATTGCATTATGTTAGGAATTATTTAAGAAAATGTTTCACTTCTGAATGGTTCTTTTGACTTTTTTTCTAAGAAGCAGAAATAGGAAAACTTATAGGTTACAGGGCTTAACATGAGCTGAAAGCACTCAAGCTATGAGATCTGACTCCTAAATTTTAAAGTTAAGAAAAAAAATACTCAAAGTAATTTTGTATCTTCCATTTTCTCATTTGTTCTTTTTACTTAACATGGAAAACATCAGTACCTGATTTTCACTCTCCCTGAGTAGCAGGGGAAAGACAGCATAGGGTTCTCAATGAATTATTAGCAACATAACCCAAATTAGAGACTGAAAATATTATATGCAGTCTTCAATCTGTAGCAACTATTTTTATCTGCTTCTTACCTAAACATCATTTGAAGAAAAACACACACACACATAAAGTCTTAACAGTAATTCAACTGAATGGGAAATGGAAACTTAGAGACTTATTAAAACTTGCTTTAAGTTATGAAGTAAAATTAATGGTAATAAAGGAACTAGAATTCATATTCCCAAAACTGTTTTCTCCTTGAATCATAGGGAGTAGGTCCAATGCCATTAGTCTACTACTGAGGGAAACTGTGAGAATTCACAAATCTAAAGATAATAAAATACTTCTGGAACAATCATATTGTAGAATACTGTTATTCATGGTCATTTTCTGCTTATAAAATAGAAAAATGGTCTTTTTGAGGCTGAAGAAAAGACACCACCCCTTGGGAATACCAAAAACATTTACACCAGTTAAAAAAAAAAAAAAAAAATTTAAATACCCGTTTCAGTCTTTCATTTTCTTCCATGAATTTTTTGGCAGCCTGGTTAATATTTTCTGCTTGATGTTTAAGTACTCCTTTGTTTGACAGCTCTTTTGCCAGCTGAGTAATAAGGGTAACCAGACGTCTCAACACTCTAAGAAAATCAAACAAATGTCAGAATACTGTATAACTAGACTAATTTCCAAGAACTGTGACTTTAAGCACTAACTATCCAGTAACTCCCCTTCAGGTGTGGGTGTGGTAATGTTTAGGCAAGGGAGGATGTTTAAAGAAGTGTGTGTTCAGTCACTCGTGTCTGACTCTCTGTGACCTCATGGACTGTAGCCTGCCAGGCTCCTCTGTCCATGGCATTCTCTAGGCAAGAATACTGCAGTGGGTTGCCATGTTCTCCTTCAGTGTTTAAAGAAGACAAATACAAAGTCCAAGTCCTAGTTAAAACAAGCCTGTGTCTCATTTCTTTGAAATTTTTGCCAGAAGACTAACTTTTGGAATGTGGGTTCAGTGGGACTTATTATTTTTTTCTGTAGAGGACTTTGGCCAGGAGGAGCAGAAAGAGAATTCTGGACATTGTGGTAGGGCCAGTAAGAAATTTTTCCCCTCAGTTCAAAATTTGCTATTGTAAAGAGCGCTGTGCAGGATTTCCCTTGTGGTTAATGGTTAAGACTTGAGCCCCTGTGCTTCCAATGGAGGGGGCATGGATTCAATCCCTGGCTGTGGAAATAAGATCCCACATGCCTCTTAGTCAAAATAAATAAATAAAAAGAGCACTATGGAAGGCTGGCTAAACCTGAAAATTACTCTCCTACTTGTATTGATGGGTCCATTGTTACTAGTAGTAATCCTTATCTTCAAGTATTCAATTCAAGAACTGCTAAGTGTTAATTACTGTGCTAGGCACTGGGGATATAATTGGAAACAAAACAATGGCCCTGCTCTCAAAGAGTTTAGGCTTTAGTTGGGGAGGCGAGAGTTAAAACAGTATTTAATTACAACCATAAGTAATTAAATGACACTTGGAAGAAAAGTATATACACTGCACATTCTACGGGAGTGTACAATAGGAGACCTAGCTACTTTGGGGAAATGAGAGTCACAGGCCTCAGCTTACCTGAGGAAGTAGCTGAAGGACGAGCAGAAATTACCCAGGGAGAAAGGGAAGGGAAGAGTGTTTTGTCAGAAGGGAAAGTTGGTGTGAAGACCCTGAAGTAGAAAGCAGCTGGGTACACAAAAGGAACTCAATAAATATTTGTTGCAACAATGAATGAATGAATGAATGAAGGAGCAGCAAAGGACAGTGTGGGTGCAACGGGGGTACATGTGTCAGAAAAGAGTACAAGACGAGGCTCCAGACAGCAGCAGGGGCGAGATCCTGCGGGACCTATGGGCCTATCAAATCTACAAGCCAGGATTCTTATTTGTTATTTGGGTCCGCCATCTGAGTTCTTTCAAAATAGATGTTAGTGTGCTAAATAGTACAGAAGAAAAATCTACACTATAGGTGGAAAAAATGAGAAACATAAATCATGTTTTAAAATTGTGCTAAAAAAAACTTACAGCCAGAAAAATAATGAAAATCCAGAAATGTAAAGATTTCTTTGAGACCTGAAGAGTTTCATTTGTGTATGTTCATAGGCAGCAGGTCTGTTGGCTGAGCTCTTTTCAATAGTATGAGTCGAGGAATATTTTCTTACTTCTCTCACAGCATCTATTAAAAAAAAGAGGAGACACATTGCTTTTGGCTTTTAAGAATATAAGATTATTAATATAATGGAAAGTAGATTTAGCCCAAGTGACCTAACTTTTAGAGAACGAACTTTAGCTAGGGGGTCTCTTTATAATACATGGGAGGATATTATGCTCAAAATAGATGCCAGTGGTAAACTTTGAATATAACAGTATTTTGCTTTTTTACTACTCATCTAGGAGTTACCACCACTGCACTGTCTCTAATATCTGGCTACACTGCATTAAAATTCAACCTACTGACAATAACATATATAGGTCATATGCCATTACAATCAATTCCAGGCTAACCCATTTCTCTTATTGCACTAGCATTTTTATTACATCTACTGTAATTTTTTTTTACAGTGGAAGTGACAAATAGATTCAAGGGATTAGATCTGGTGCCTGAACTATGGACGAAGAACTATGGATGAAGGTTCGTGACATTGTACAGGAGGCAGTGATCAAGACCATCCCTGCGAAAAAGACACTGCAAAAAGGCAAAATGGTTGTCTGAGGTGGCTTTACAAATAGCTAAGAAAAGACAAGAAGAGAAAGGCAAAGAAGAAAAGGAAACATATACCTATTTAAATGCAGAGTTCCAAAGAATAGCAAGGAGAGATAGGAAAGCCTTCCTCAGTGATCAATGCAAAGAAATAGAGGAACACAATAGAATGGGAAAGACCAGAAATCTCTTCAAGAAAATTAGAGATACCAAGGGAATATTTCATGCAAAGATGGGCACCATAAAGGACAGAAATGATATGGACCTAACAGAAGCAGAAGATATTAAGAAGAGGTGGAAACAATACACAGAAGAACTGTACAAAAAAGATCTTCACGACCCAGATAACCATGATGGTGTGATCACTCACCTGGAGCCAGACATCCTGGAATGAGAAGTCAAGTGGGCCTTAGAAGCACCACTACGAACAAAGCTAGAGGAGGTGATGGAATTCCAGTTGAGTTATTTTAAATCCTAAAAGATGATGCTGTGAAAGTGCTGCACTCAATATGCCAGCAAAACTGGAAAACTCAGCAGTGGCCACAGGACTGGAAAAGGTCAGTTTTCATTCCAATTCCAATTCCAAAGAAAGGTAATGCCAAAGAATGTTCAAACTACTGCACAATTGCACTCATCTCACACACTAGCAAAGTAATGCTCAAAATTCTCCAAGATAGGCTTCAATAGTACGTGAACCAAGAACTTCCAGACATTCAAGCTGGATTTAGAAAAGGCAGAGGAACCAGAGATTAAATTGCCAACATCCACTGGATCATCGAAAAAGCAAGAGAGTTCCAGAAAAACATCTTACTGCTGCCTCATTGACTACGCCAAAACCTTTGACTGTGTGGATCACAACACACTGTGGAAAATTCTTCGAGAGATGGGAATACCAGACCACCTGACCTGCCTCCTGAGAAATCTGTATGCAGGTCAAGAAGCAACAGTTAGAACTGGACATGGAACAAAGGACTCTTTCCAAACTGGGAAAGGAGTGTGTCAGGGATGGATACTGTCACCCTGCTTATTTAACTTATGTGCAGAGTGCATCATGCGAAATGCTGAGCAGGATGAAGCACAAGCTGGAATAAAGATTGCTGGGAGAAATATCAGTAACCTCAGATATGTAGATGACACCACCCTTATGGCAGAAAGTGAAGAACTAAGAACCTCTTGATGAAAGTGAAAGAGGAAAGTGAAAAAGCTGGCCTAAAGTCCCGCATTAAAAAAGTAAGATCATGGCATCTGGTCCCATCACTTCATGGCAAATAGATGGGGAAACAATGGAAACAGTGACAGACTTTAATTTTTTGGGCTCCAAAATCACTGCAGATGGTGACAGCAGCCATGAAATTAAAAGACACTTGCTCCTTGGGAGAAAAGATATGACCAACCTAGACAACACATTAAAAAGCACAGACATTACTTTGCTAACAAAGGTCCATCTCATCAAAGCTCTGGTTTTTCCAGTAGTCATGTATGGATGTGAGAGTTGGACTATAAAGAAAGCTGAGCACCAAGAACTGATGCTTTTGAACTGTGGTGTTGGAGAAGACACTTGAGAGTTCCTTCGACTGCAAGGAGATCAAACCAGTCCATCCTAAAGGAAATTAACACTGAATATTCATTGGAAGGACTGATGCTGAAGCTGAAACTCCAACACTTTGGCCACTGGCCACCTGATGTGAAGAACTGATTCATTAGGAAAGACCCCGATGCTGGGCAAGATTGAAGGCAGGAGGAGAAGGGGATGACAGAGGATGAGATGGCTGGATGGCATCACCGACTCAAAGGCCCCGAGTTTGAGCAAGCTCCGGGAGTTAGTGGTGGACAGGGAAGCCTGGTGTGCTGCAGTTCATGGGGTTGCAGAGTCGGACACAACTGAGTGACTGAAGTATTACTCTTTTTAAAAAAACCGAAGTATAGTTGATTTGCAATGTTTCAGGTATACAGCAGAGTGATTCAGTTATATAGTTATCTTTATTCCTTTTTCAGATTTTTCCCATTATAGGTTATTATAAGATACTGAATATAATTCTGTGCTATACAGCAGGTCCTTGTTGTTAACCTATTTTATATATAGGCTATTATTTTAAATTATTGACATGTTAGAAGTGTTTGGTTACACTGAGATTTCTACTGGCAAAAATTTGTTGAAATGGGATTGACCTATGGTAGTATATGATCCCTCACGTGTCCTGTGGATGACACCTGTTACTGAAAATGTTCAGAGAGCTGCTCTTTTGATACTTTCAGTTCTGTTAAGTCTCAGATTCAGGGAAAACACTTTTCTCTAGTGGGAGACAGATTTCAGATTAGCATCTTTATTCGGTGTACTCTTAAGTCATTGGATTCTTGTAGTTTCCTGGGAAGGTATCTGCCTTCTATGTCACAAAAGACCAGTGGAATATAAGCAAGTTAGGTTGTTCCTTTCATGTAGTCATAAACATTCCTAGGGAAGAGTCACTGCCTTATAGGAAAGAGATTCTAGTTGAAAAACAGCTAATTTTAACCCCTATTTTACTTAATTTTTTAAATAGCACTTTGAGCTAAAATTCACATAACATTTACCCTTAAAATTGTATTTGGTGGTTTTGAGTATATTCACAAAGTTGTGTAACCAACACCTGAATATTTTCATCAACCCAAACAGAAAGCCCATATCCATTCTTGCTCTCCCTGCACGTCCTGGCAACCACTAATCTACTTTCTGTCTCTATGGATTTGGCTATTCTGGACATTTGATACAGATGGAATCATATTTTATGTGTTCTTTTGTGTTTGGCTTCCTTTACCTCACATAATATTTTCAAGGTTCATCTACGTTGCATCAAGTTACATAGATGAAATTGCTTTATTACTTTTTATAACTGAATAATTCTCTGTTGCACAGCTACACCACATTTGGTTTATCCATTCAAGAGATGATGGATATTTGGGTTTTCTCTAGTTTTTAGCTATTATGAACCATGGTGCCATGAAGATTCATGTACAAGTTTTTATACTGACATATGTTTTCATTTCTCTTGGTATATACCTATGAGTGGAACTGCTGGATCATATGGTAACTCCCAAGTGGTGCTAGAGGTAAAGAACCTGTCTGCCAATGCAAGAGATGTAAAAGAAGCAGGTTCGATCCCTGGGTAGGGAAGATGTCCTGGAGGAAGGCATCGCAACGCACTTCAGTATTCTTAGCTGGAGAATCCCATGGACAGAGGCGCCTGGTGAGCTACAGTCCACAGAACTGCAAAGAGCTGAACAAGACTGAAGTGACTCGGCACACATGCATGGTAACTCTATGTTTAACTTTCTGAGGAACTGTCAAACTTTTCCCAAAGCAGCTTTATCAGTTTACATTCCCAGTGTAATGTAAATTGGGATGGTTCCAATGTCTCCACATCTTCATCAGCGTTTGTTATTATCTGTCTTTTAGATTATAACTATCCTAGTGAGTATGAAGTGCTATTTCATTGCAATGATAGTGAGTTTTTCAACTGAAAAAAAAAAACATTTATTTCCATTTTCTTTAATTCCTTCTAACAATGTTTTTGTAGCTTTAAGCATTGAGATCTTGTACATCCTTTATAAAGTTCTTTTCTAAAAACAAGAAGTTTTTAGGCTTCTTGTTATAAAAGTAATTTAAAAATTTTCAATTTTGAATTGTTGCTTAATAGCATAGAAATGCACTTCATTTTGTATACTGACCTTGTATTTTGTGATGCACTATATTTCTTTGACACAGTATTTTTCTTGTAGACGCTTTAGGATTTTCTAAATAAATAATCATGTCATCTTCAAATGACTGTTTTACTTTTTAATTTAAAATCTTAATGCTTTGTATATTTTTCTTAACTTATTATCTCGGTTAGAAAATCTATTACTTAATTGAACAAAAAGAGTTGAAGTGAATATCCTTGCTTTGTTCTCAACCTTACGGAGCTAACTTTCAATATCTGACTAAGGATGATGCTAGCTCTAGACTTTTGTAGATGCTCTTCATCAGAATGAGGAAGCTTCCTTCTATTTGTAATTTGCTAATTAAAAATAATTTGATGTTTGTATATACTGTAAAATAGTTACAAATTCATCACCATACATTTACAGAATTTCTTTTTTCTTGTGATGCAAAATTTCTTTCAACATCTACTCTCCTAGCAATTTTCAAATGTGCAATACAGAATTATTAACTAAGTCACCGTGCTGTTCATTATATCTCTATGACTTATTTATTTTATAACTGGAAGCTTATATGTCTTGACTCCATTTACCTATATTGCCTACCCCCACCCCTGGCAACCACCAATCTGTCCCCTGTATCTATGAACTTGATTTCATTTTTTAAGATTCTACATATGAATGAGATCTTATAGTATTCATCTTTCACTCAGCCTAATGTCCTCAAGGTCGATTTATGTGGACACAAAAGGCAAGATTTGCTTTTTTTTGGTCATTTCTAAGATTGCCTCAAAACAATAAGAGCATGCCAACCACTACGAAACAACTAAAAAGAAAACAGTCTTTATGAGCTATTTTGAGCAGTCTAGAGGAACCAAACAGTACTTTGAAGTCATTGTTGTTTTCCTTGTTGTTTAGCTGCTAAGTTGTGTCTGACTCTTGTGACTCCATGAACTGTAGCCTGCCTGGCTCCTCTATCCATGGGATTTCACAGGCAAGAATACTGGAGCGGGTTGCCATTTCCTTCTCCAGTGGATCTTCCCAACCAGGGACAGAACCTGTGTCTCCTACATTGGCAGGTGGATTCTCTACCACTGAGCCACCTGTGAAGTGTGATGTCATTACTACTTGGCAATTAAATAGGAATAATACTCCTGGATCCATTATGCAGAAATGCTAAAGATTAAGCAGTACTACCACAGAAAAACAAACCCATTTGTAGAATGCATTGCTTACATAATAGTAAAGAAACTGTGTCTGAAAAGTGGGATTGGAGGGGCAACAATAAGAGGAGGATGTGACACTTAGTCAATTTTCTATAAGGCACATGGAGATCATCTTTTTGTGGGATCAATTCTGTAAGCATTCAAATTCCCGAGAAGCATTTCTGCTGACACTAAATAAATTCTCCTGGGCTTCCTACTTCCTTTCTGCCTGTTCCAACTTGCTAAAACACATACACACTTTGCAGTTAGTATTGGCTCTAGGAATATAAACATCTAGTAATGATTATTACACCAACAAGGAAAAAATTCCAAAATAAAAGATGAATTATGTTGAGTAATTCAAACCTACTGGGTCTACATTATTTACACCAATGTCATTTTAGTGGATGAGAACAGTGGACTACGTACTTTACATATGTAAGTGCATGTTATTCTTTCAACACCTTAGTGAAGTAGGTGTTATTCCCCTGTTCTGAGACGGAAACACTGAGGCTTCATGGGTAAGTCCCTGTTTGACTGTCTTTATCATCCAGGGTTAAAGGCCCCACATTAATCATCCATGATGTTCCTATTCTCTGGGAGTTAATTACTTCCTCTGCCCATAGATATAGGCTCCTGCCAGCAGCCATGATTTTGCTCTGTGATCCTGGACCCTGGCCATAGCTTCTCAGATGAGGACTGGCTACCCAGTGTTATGATTTTTTCTTCCTTAGAACTGGAATTTAGAAATGGCTAGTTAATCCTCACATATGGCTGGCATGACAAAACTTAGCAGCTGTATATATTTCTGGCCTGGAAATTGAGTATCAGAGTCTGTAGAGATAAGGAAGAAGAAGGAGACCAAGGGAGAAATACAGGACACTAAAAGGACACTTCAGTTCCTATGAATTTGGCTTCCTTCACCTTTCAGGCCACACTGAAACAACCCTATATTTTAATTTTCTCTTTCATGCTCAAGTGAGCTGATGCTGGTTTCTGATTTATGTAACCAAAAGAACCTTGGCTAAAGTTGTCATTCTTTATATGGCTATGTGGCAGTTTTCAGTAGAAATTCTTGTGATAATTTTAGAGTTAGAAGGACACAGTACACTCTTAGAGCTACTAAGAGCTATGGAGATTATTTCCTCTCTCTATTTTGCAAATGGCTAAACCAAACTCAGATGAAATGACATTCCAAAGGTCATTTAGTTAGCTGGTGACAAACTTGGAACCTGGTTTTCCTTATTGTTTTTCACCTGCTTGCTGTAATTTCTTCTATGGCTAGAGATTCAGTCAGTAACATTAAGAACATACCATGAGACAAATACACTTTGAAGTGAAGTGCAAATCCATTCACATCCTGATGCAATGACTTACTCATACCTTCTCATGACATTTATTTCCAGTTTATAAAGAGGATTCCCCTCCAGAGGTTAGTAATATGGAAAACAAGAAACATTTTCTCACAAAAGAGTGGCACACATGGTGGTTATGGCCCAGGCCGACACCTGTGAAACCTGCCTAACTCACAACACAACTCTGAGGGAATTCTGAGGGACAACACACTGCAGTGGTATTAAAAGCTGAATTGCCAATTAGTAGCTGGGTGATCTCTGACAAGTTACATAATCTCTCTGAGCTCAGTTCTTAAAAGCTTCTAAAAAGCATGGCAATTTACTCCTTCTAAAAAGCATGGCAATTATTTTACTCATGGAATTTCTAATTTGACAAAAACCTTAAGAGTCTACTTCAAGAGAAAAGTAGTGTCTGGGATGTAGCAATACCTCTGCCAGCATCTGGACAAACATAAAGAAGGCCTGTCACCAAGGGACAGGATTTATACCCATGGCCAGAAGCTGAACCACCCTGGCATCAAGGGACAGATATTTTGACTATTAAGAGTTTTCTACTACTGACGACCTATAATCAAATAGGGAAATGATGGAAAAATCTGCACGTTTTTGAGTCAGACAACGAACCCCTCACTAGGTGAAAGAGGTTAACTGTATGCTGCACACAAGCATGTAGACCCTGGATTGGCTGGAAACAGAAGGTTGATAATGCTGACTCCCAACTGCCTCACCACCAACCCCTCAGAAGGATGTGCACAAGCTGATCATGCCCTCTTTGAAACATTACTATAAAACTCTTCACTACCCCTTCGAGGTTGGGACATGCAGTTTGGAGGGCATTAGCCCACTGTGGCCCCCTCTGCCTGACAAAGCAAATAAAGCTATTCTTTTCCACTTCAAAAAAAAAAGCCTGCTTCTAATTTCTAAGGTGCTTGTTATGAAAATTTCAAACATGCGGAAAAACTAGTACAATAAACATCCATATTTCCACTACCTAGATTCAACAATTGTTAGCATTTGCCACATTTATTTTTTTTTTAAACCAACTGAAAGTAAGTTGTAAATATCATGAGACTTTACTTCTGTGTATTTCAGCATGCAATTCCTAAGCATAAGGACATAACCCTACGTAAAAGGTGTTGGTACTTTTTCTGTAAAGAGCAAGTTGTGTATGTTAGGCCACACGGTCTCTGTTTCAACTACTGCACTCTGTAGTTGTTCATACATAGACAACACATAAACAGAATAGCATGGTATGTTCCAATAAAACTTTATTTACAAAAATAGGTAACTGGTCTGCAGGTTATAGGTGGCTGACTTCTTCTATATAATAACAACATTGATATCATCACTAAAGTTAACAAAAACTCCCTAATATTATCTAACAAATAGTCTATATTCAAATTTTTGCAGTAGTACCCAAATGTCTGTGCTATAGTTGTCTTTCAACCATTGTCCAATCAAGATTCACACCCTACATCTAAAACTTCTTTTGAGGGCCATTGCTGTTTGTCTCCCAAACAGTTAAACCTGTGGATAACTAAGACACCACAATAACAAAGGACTGTATAACTGCTAATTCTGAAAACTAGGCTATGCATCGCAGCATTTAAATCTTAAAACAACATAAAAGAGATTAAGAACCACTGTACTTTGCTGCAATTTATGCTTGTATATATGTAACAGTAATAATATCTATCAACATATCAATTATCTACTCCATGTACTATCATATACTATACCAAGTCAACTGTATACCAATGGCAGCACCAACTTAATTAAAAACCAATCAATAATAATTCATTAATGATAATAATAATATAAAAAATTATAGTTAAGCTTAGTCAAAGGAGGACTCTAGTACTTACCTAGAAACAGAACAATCAATAGGATTATAATAGTAAGAAAAGCCTTGTTCCAGAAACTTGCAATTTTACCCCAAACGCTAAAGGAAAATATCTTCTGCCATCTGTAAAGCAATACAATTACATCAGGTGTAAAAAGTCAAGAGAACACGTTGAGATACTCTCTAAACACTAAATTAACATTTTGGCAATTGTGTAGTGAGTGAAAAGAACTACGGAAATTTAATTTTTTGTCATGTAAGAGAATTGTCAATTCTTATCAATAAGAATATCTCATGAAATAACAACTTTCAAATTTAATAAAAATCTGACATTTGATTATCTTCTGTCTGGTGGCTTAAATATTCTTAAGTAAAAATAACTTCTGAAGTAAATACACATGATCAAAACCTTAAATAGGAATTCTCACAGTAAAAATGTTAAATTACTGATAGAAGTTATCACTTTATATCATTTTCCTTATCAGGATAATAACTCAGAAATAACAAAGATCTACAATTCTGACAACTAATAACATTTCAGGGTTAAGGGGCGTGACTTTCTACACTATTTATTTTTATAATAAAAAAATAGATGCAGTCTCAATGGCTACTTCAAGTAAAAAAGTTTTTTTACTTTTACCATAAGGAAATTAAGAAAATCATTGGGCTATTATACACACATTGAATCACTGAGCTATTACATACACATTAAATCACTGAGCTATTCTACAATGTGTGTGTAATACTGTATTACATACATAGTAAAGAGCAAAAATCTTAAATATATAGCTTGAAAGGGACTTCCCTGGCAGTCCAGTGGTTAGGACTCTGCACTTTCACTGCTGAGTGTCCAGTTTCAATCCCTGGTTGAGTAACTAAGATCCCACAAGATGCATGGCATAGCAAAAAAGAAAAAGATATATATATATCTCTCTCTCTCGAGGGATTTTTATGTGTGTTTATACCCAAGTAATTATATTCAGATCATTACTTGAACATAGAGAAAATGAAATAGGGCAACAGTCTAGATGGAATGAACAATATGAGCAAAGGCACATAGGTAAGAAAGCATGAATTATCCATGGCAAAGAGCGACAAACCGAAAAGGTACCAAATTTCACACGAGGGCACTTTAAATGAGTAACACATTAACTGGGCCCAAAGCAGACATATAAAGATAAGCACTTAAGTCAACTTCAAATTTCCTCCCATGGACCACAGCCTTGTAGTGGTGTGTGGGCCACTATACAAGTGCAGGGCTTGTGTAGTTCAATGAAGCCATGGGCCATGCCGTAAAGGGCCACCAAAGATGGACGGGTCATCGTGAAGAATTCTGATAAAACGTGGTCAACTGGAGGAAGAAATGGGAAACCACTCCAGTATTCTTGCTGTTAAGAACCCCATAAACAGAATGAAAAGGCAAAAAGATATGACACCGGAAGATGAGCTCCCATCCCCATCCCCGCCCCGGTTGGAAGGTGTCCAATATGCTAGTGGGGAAGAGCAAATGGCAATCACTAATAGTTCCAGAAAGAATGATGTAGCTGGGCCAAAGCAGAAATGACGCTCAGTTGTGGATGTGTCTGGTGGTGAAAGTAAAGTCCGATGCTGTAAAGAACATTGTGTAGGAACCTGGAATGTTAAGTCCATGAATCAAGGTAAAATGGACGTGGTCAAGCAGGAGATGCCAAGAGTGAACATCCACATTTTAGGAATCAGTGAACTAAAATGGATGGGAATGGGCGAATTTAATTCAGATGACCATTGTATCTATGTGGGCAAGAATCCCTTAGAAAAAAAGGGAGTAGGCCTTCATAATCAACAAAAGAGTCTGAAATGCAGTACTTGGGTGAAATTTCAAAAATGAGAGATTGATTTTGGTTCATTTCCAAGGCAAACCATTCAACCTAACAGTATTCAAGTTAATGCCCCAACCACTAAATGCCAAAGTAGCTGAAGCTGCATGGTACTATGAAGACCTTCAAGAACTAACACCAAAAAAAACAATGTGCTTTTTCACTACAGGGGATTGGAATGCAAAAATAGGAAGTCAAGAGACACCTGAAGTAATAGGCCAAACTTGCCTTAAAGTACAAAATGAAGCAGGGCACAGGTTAACAGTTTTGTTAGGAAAACACACTGGTCATAGCAAACACCCTTTTCCAACAACACAAGAGATGACTCTACACATGGAATCATCAGATGGTCAATACCAAAATCAGGCTGATTATTTTCTTTGCAGCCAATGATGGAGAAGCTCTATGCATGCTCAGTCGCTCAGTTGTCTCCGACTCTTTGGCTACCCCCTGGACTGTCGCCCCCAGGCTTTTCTATTGCAGCAGGTGAGTTCAGTAGTTGTGGCTTGCAGGGTATAGAACGCAGGCTCAACGGTTGTGGTGCATGGGCTTAGCTGCTCCGTGGCACGTGCAGTCTTCCCAGACTAAGGACTGAACCCGTGTCCCCTGAACTGGCAGGCAAGAGTCTTATTCACTGTGCCACCAGAGAAGTCCCTTAAGACTATGTTTTGAAAACAACTCTAATAATAACCTGAAGTTTGTGGGAAGACAGAGTTGATATGGATGCAGTTTCTTTTGCCTCTTTGCTTCCAACTCCAAGAATACTATTCAAATTTTACATTACAAAGATTTGTATTTTTAGAAAGAGAACTAGCAATACCTTGACATAGACCCAAATGTAAATTCACATTTCAAGTAAATCAACAATATGAAAGGGAAAACAAAAGGAGACCCGCCTCCACCAGAGGGAACAATTAGCAGTTTATAAGGCTTGACATAAGGAAAAGCTAATAACAGTTACTATATAGAGTCCTTACTATACTTCCCTTCTAAGCACTTTTACATGGCTTAGCTCATTTAATCACCAAAACCACCACATGAGGTGGATACTAGTATCACCTTCATTTTACAGATGAGGAAGGTTTACAGATGTAAACCTCCATTTTACATCTCTGGCCAGAGATGGTAAATAACTTGCCCAAAGTCATACAGTAGTATGCAGAGTTTTGATATAACCCCAGGCAGTCTAATCTCTGAATATGTGTCTTTCACTAGTGGGTTATGTGAGAAAAACAAAAGTGGAGAGCCAAAGTATGATAAATGAAGACTGAAGCCTTTTCTTTGACGAGTAAGGTGATTACACATGTAAAAAGATAAAAAGATGTGAATACACACAGTAAGGACATATTGTAAATGATCTGTGGACATATATATATATATATACACCATGTTTTTCTAGTGTATATTTGTCCAAGAGGATATATTTATGTAATGTGTGTACATGTACTCAAATCTACCAAATAGCTACTTTATCAGGATAGAAAAAAATATATTATTTGATAGGAAGAAAAAGATTCATAATCTATAAACCATTTTGAGGGAGAAAAGATCAACTGACGAATTTTTTTTTTCAAATCCTCAAGTTTTATAAGTTAGATGTTAGATGTTTATAAATAACATCTTTCTTTCTCTTACATATAGGATTCTACTGTTGCAAGTGTTACCAAAAAGCCGAAAAGGGTCTTACTGAGGATTTGAAACAAAATCAATAGGATAAGAGACAAGGTGATGAAATAGAGCACTAGACTGAAGGGCAGATTCTTATCCTGAACCTGCCAAAGCTCAACTAGATGACCTTAGGCCACCTTCTCATAGAATGAATAGGTTGAATAAAGTTAAAAAATCTCAAAGGACCCTTCTTATAATTCATTTTTTCTTTCATAAGCAAGAAAATAGTGATGGCACAGCTGAGAGATAAAAACAGAAGTGAGTAGAAATCCAGGTAGGTAAGAAGAAAGTTAAAAGTTGTGGAAGATTACTGGACCCTGAAGATGAACCAACCTGTCCGCAGGGCAGGAAGAGAAATGCAGATGCAGAAAACAGTCTTGTGGGCACAAGGTCAGCGTGGGAGTGGGGTGGGGGGGTGAACTGGGAGATTGGGATTGACATATATATTCACTACCACTCATCAAGTAGCTAGCTAAAGCACAGGAAACTCAGCTCAGTCCTCTGAGATGATTCAGATGGGTAAGAAAAGGGGGTGGGGTGGGAGAGAGGCCCAAGAGGGAGGGAACATATGTATGCATATAGCTGACTGACTTCATCATACCCCAGAAACTACCACAATATGGTAAAGCAATTATGCCCCAATTAAAAAAAAAGATAAAAACTTTCATAAGTCTCTTCAAGTCAAGGAATCTTACTAAATTTCAGTGGGTTATCTGTAGAATCTCATTAATGAAAGATTTTCTTTTATATGAACAAATGTGTTGCAACATTTTTACACAAGAGTATTTCATCATTCACACTGCCAAGTCTGGATCTAAAACTGAACTCCTAAAAAGTAGGTAACAATAGGGGTGGAGAGAGTTAAGGCTACAACTGAAATCCTCCTGAAAGACCTTTGACGGGTCTTTTACTAAGAAACTCATGTTAAGGAATGGTTCTGATACTTTGCATATTCAGCACTTTTAATTTATACTCATTAATTCTGCATGGGGATAAAGTAGTAAAACTGCTATTAAATACAAATGAATTATGTAAGACCAAAATGGAGGTTGCCGGGGTCCGACACTCCCCTGAAAGGGAGGCGCCCGGCAGGGACCCGGGGAGGGGAAGGGAAAGGGGAGAGAGGAGGAAGCTGGTCGAGAGTGGGCCCAGAGGCCCGGGTGGGCACCTCCCCGGCGAGCCTTACGGAACCGGCCGGGCGGCACCGCGGTCGTGCTTTCGGTCCAGGTTCACGGCGTCAGCAGCCCAACGCCACCCTCCGCTAACGCTCGAGCCCGGTCCCCACCCCCCCACGCCCGCTCCCGCTTCGCGAACGCGCCGAGGGAAGGGCCGGCCCCGCGGACCAACCGCGGCGATAGCAGCGCGACCCCGCGCCCCCCGCCGCCGGGAGGCCCGCGGGGCTCTCGCCCAGCCTTACCCCGCCTGCGGCTGCCCGGCTCCCCGCGCTGCTCCGCGGCCGCCGACGCGCGGGACGTCACACGCCGCGGCGGGGGGAGGGGAGCGGGCCCTCCCCTCCCCCCACCGTCACCCCCGGACCCTCCCGGGCTCCGGCCTCGGGGGCGGGCGGGGCCCCGCCGACCGGCCGGGCGGCGCGAACGCGCTGATGAGCGTTAACTGTTTCTAATTGGGTGGTGGAGTCACTGGGTGGCGAAGACTCTTCGATCTGGTGCTTAGAGGCTCCCAAGGGCAAGGTCTTCTGGGGAGCCAGCTTAACATTTCTAATAAAGGGTGGTTTGGGTGGGAGGCGTGCGGTTAACCGACGTTCTGAAAGAGCGTGTGGGGTCCGGCGAGAGACGGTGGCGTCGGGGCGGGCGGGCTGGACACGGTGCTGCCAATCTAGTGAACGTGGTTAAAACACTCCTTCCTGGTCTGTATTCACCGTGGACAGTTTCGTTGGCCGGAACAAGCCAGAAGTTACATATTAGGAAGGCCAGGATCCGGTGATTGTGCCGAATTCTCTGAAAATTTGAATAGGTAGCGTCCAACATCTCGTGTGAGGGTTTCCCCTTTTGGCCGTGGGCTCGGAAGAGGGAACACACTTTAGGGATTGGGGACTAACTGGAAAGGAGAACAACGTAGGCATGGGTACATTTTTTCAATTACTCTTTGCCGGGTATTCAAATTACGTGAATACACTCAAATTATGACAGTTTTTTCCCCCTCAATATTAACAGCATATTAGAAAAGCACATCAAAGTATTCTCTTGTAGAGGATTATTTTGGGAACATTAAATAAATGGTAAAAATAAGAGGTGGTTATTGAATATAAAAACACATGTAAGTCAGTGTTTTCTCTTTGTCACAAATATACTTGATTACATAGAAAAGACAACATAGGTTAACCATAAGGGACTTAGAAAAAAAAAAATTAAGGCGTTTAGAACTCCTTGCCCTTTCCACTGGGTCCTTGGAAACGCTGTGCACCTTACTCTAATTAGGCCATTGTCCTCACAACACATGAAATTCACCTCAGAGTTAATTAACAAATTTACAAATGAATACGTTTTGACTGTAACTCCCTATGTGCTAATATGGTACTCATATTTAATGAAAAGCAGTTATCTTTAAAAATCCATTAACTGAAAAATGAAAGCACAGAGTGTACCTTAAAAGGCATTACAACAGGGTGCTTATGTTAAAATGGATTTCTCATATCCCCAAATTCGTGAATTAACTAGTTCTAGATAACTGCTTAGAAGTTTTTATGTTGGTGATATAGACCACTATCTTTTTTTCTTTTTTCCATTTATTTTTATTAGTTGGAGGCTAATTACTTTACATCATTGCAGTGGGTTTTGTCATACATTGAAATGAATTAGCCATAGAGTTACATGTATTTCCCATCACGATCCCCCTTCCCACCTCCCTCTCCACCCGATCCCTCTGGGTCTTCCCAGTGCATCAGGCCCGAGCACTTGTCTCATGCATCCAACCTGGACTGGTGATCTGTTTCACCCTAGATAATATACATGTTTCGATGCTGTTCGTAGACCACTATCTTAATTATAGAACTGTTTTTAACAAATTGATGTAATTCTTGCAGTAGCACCTTCACCACCAATAAAATTCAGTTAGCAGTATCTCCAAACCATGGAACTTTTAAAAAAATTTTTTCAATTTTTTGACTGTGCCGTGCCACTTGGCTTGTGACAATCTTAGTTCCCTGACCAGAAGACTGAACCAGCACACTTCATAGTGAAAGCCAGGAAAACTAACCAGGGTATTCCCTAAGCCATGGAACTCTAAAGTTAAAATTATCCTCAACTGCTGGGAGGCATAAAAATAACATTACCAAAAATGGTATGAAAATTAGATTTTTAAATAAAACCTGCTTACTCTTCTCCAGGAAGTAATATTTCAAGTACACAGTTGTCTTTGGTATCTGTGGGGCATTGGTTCTAGGACTCTTGCAGGTGCCAAAATTTGTGGATGCTTAAGTCCCATATATAAAATGTTTTAGCACCAAGGGCCAACTGTGTAACTATCTCTAGATTACTGACCAAATTTTTATATATAAGATGTAGGAGATAGAAATTAATAGTATCATTTAAATACAGGACTGATGCTGAAACTCCCAATACTTTGGCCACCTGATGTAAAGAACCAACTCATTGGAAAAGACCCTGATGCTGGGAAAGATTGAAGGCGATAGAAGGGGACGACAGAGGATGGGAAGGTTGGATGGCATCACTGATGTGATGGACATAAGTTTGAGTAGGCTTTGGGAGTTGGTGATGGACAGGGAAGCCTGGTATGCTGCAATCCATGGGGTCACAAAGAGTCAGACCCGACTGAGCAACTGAACTGAATTGATATTTACCAAGCTCTCAATCTTCTAAAAATTTAGAAGGCTTGAAATATAATAAATGTCATTTAAAGAATTTCACAGAATCTTCACTTTTTTTAATAAAAATTTTTTATTTTTGATGTACATCATTTGGGGTTTTAATGGCTGTGAGGCATGTGAGACCTTAGCTCCCAATCAGGGATTGAACCTGCACCTCCATGCACTGGAAGGAGGGGTATTAACTACTGGATCACCAGGGAAGTCTCCCTTAGTTTTAAATTACAGAAAACATTACATCTAATTAATTTGTTACATACAATTTAAAACAACTACCTTGAGGTGTGTAATTCATGAATTAGGAAGAAGCAGTTTAATTTTCCTGGAGAAGGAAATGGCAACCCACTCCAGTACTCTTGCCTGGAAAATCCCATGGACGGAGGAGCCTGGTAGGCTACAGTCCATGGAGTCTTGAAGAATTGGATGCGACTGAGCAACTTCACTTTCACTTTTCACTTTCATGTATTGGAGAAGGAAATGGCAACTCACTCCAGTGTTCTTGCCTGGAGAATCCCAGGGACGGGGGCGCCTGGTGGGCTGCTGTCTATGGGGTCGCACAGAGTCGGACACGACTGAAGCGACTTAGCAGCAGCAGTTTAATTTTCCAATCTAAACTTTGAATTTAAGCCCTGAAATCAATTCTATACAGAATTTTTTTCCTTTTCATTTCATATAGATGTTGGCATTTGCTGTCTCACTTTTCTGCACTGATTTTCATTTAAAACACTTCATGTTAACTAACAGATACCATATGAGCCATATTTTTAGTATTAAAAGTTTTATTTATTTAAAAATGTTAAAAATGTGATTCCTTTAGGAAAAAAATTCTCACATTTTAATTCATAATAGGATACAGAGTAAGGTCTGTCAATGTTTGAAACACCTAGGATCTTTTTTAAAATTAAAATTTGGGTCTACCCTAGAGATCTACTGAACCAGAATCTCTGAGGATGTGGTCCAGGAGTGATTTTTAAAAATTCTGTTGGAGCGTTGTTTTTATACTAATTTTTAGAGTCACTGATTCAAAGTAAAAACCAAGATGTGACCTTCGATGGTTTCACTGCAGATAGAAAATAATTCAGGAAGTCCGGTCAATCCCATAATGGTCTGTAAGATAATCTAAGACTGCTGATGTGCTTGACAAAGCATTAAATATTTTTTTTTCCTGCCTTGAAGTTATCTTTTCCATCATATACATTAAATGTTGATGGAAACACATATAAGGAGTTCCAAGTTCAAGAGCAATGTCAACCCAGTCCCAGATGCATTTCAGTGGGGTTTCCTCATATCCAGCAAACATGGCCGGGTTTGCTAAGAGTCCTCTTGCAACCATAACACCTACAAATTAAAACATATTTCATTTGTCCACACATTAAGAACTCATGGTTATGGGGTCAAACTCAATGAAACAAACTGAGAATATTAAAAAATAACTTATTACAAGATTTTAAAATGCCCTTAGTCTCATTAAACAATTCATTTTTATACTTTTTATAAACAATCAAGTGTAAATGAACTTGTAAGACTTTTTTTTTTTTTAACATTTTAAATACTTCTATATCAAAAATTAGTTTTGGGCTTTTTTTCAGGGTAAACCTGGATTGTTATAAATTGGATTTGCTTGAAGTTAAGTTTATTTGCATTCTCTCATCTAGCAATAGGTATCACAGGGCTTGATATGCCAAAGTTGAGGCGGATAATGAAACTGCATGGTAGTCTGGGGTTTCTTTGGCTCCTATAGCCACTCTTCCATTCCCAAATAATTTCTATTCTGTAGGCTCTACTGGTCACTCAGTGGATGAGATGGTGGCAGAGAAGTAACTGAACTAAATCACCCCAATTAAAATAATCTGTTGCTCCTAAGCCAAAGGATTAACATTTTAGTAATTTGCTTAGCTTAAATTGGTACAACAGGAAAATATGGCTCCATTTGAAAGAAAAATAATGAAAATTCCATTAACATTACTCTCCCACCCCCATTTTTTAATTTTTCTAATTAAAAAACAAAAAGTCAAAGGACTTATTTCTTACCATCTGTCCCAGTAATATGCCACACATTTTCTGCTTCTTTTAAGCTTCTGATGTCTCCATTAGCAACTATAGGTATAGACATACTTTCCTTAATTATTTTAATGGCCTCATAGTGAACTGGCTGATGTCTTTCCTCAACAGTTCTTCCATGGACTGTAATCCAGGAAACTCCTGTTGCTTCAGCCTTTCGACAGAGATCTACAGTTCTTGTAAGGTCATCATGGATCCTATAATTTCAAAATCACATTTATCTTTTTACAGTACACAAATCTTAATGCTAATATCAATAAACTAAACAGAACATTATTTCATCTACTTCATTATTTAGTTTAGCTGTGTGGTTCATATTATCACCACATACCACTATCAGTAAAGTTTTGTTCAGGTATTAGTTCCCAGTCAAGATCTTGAATTTAGCTATTTCACTGACAAAAACCTGTTACCTAGTGTGGCTCTTTTTTGGCTTTGGTAACTGAAAGATTCATCAAAGTACTATCACAGATGCACTGAAAGTTGCTATTGTAATATGTGCATGCTCCAATCCACAAGTGGGAGAATTGTAATAATTTATCAAAATATGTTTTTAACCTGTCACCAAAAAATTATAATTTTTAGTTTTTGATGTGAAATTTTAGTGCAAATATTATTCCTATTTTCCACTCTTGGTATCAGAAATGTTTCTTAGCATTAGTTATTTCAATAGTACGTGGAAAAAGCTGTTTCTTTTGGGAGTGAGTTTTTTAATAATAAAGGGATATTTTAATTTTTGTTAAATATGGAGAAATTGTTTTGAATTATAAATTAAAATTATGGTATCTATTAATTCACTAAGCATCTTTGTTTCAACATTTTCATATTCTAGATGCCTATGTGGGGCTTCTCAGGTGGCTCAGTAGCTAAAGAATCCACCTGGCAATGCAGGAGACATAGGAGACGCAGGTTCAATCCCTGGGTTGGGAAGAGCCCCTGGAGAAGGGCATGGCAACCCACTCCAGTATTCTTGCCTGGAGAATCCCATGGAGGAGGAGCTTGGTGGGCTACAGTCCATGAGGTCACAGAGTCATACATGACTGAAGCAACTGAGCATGCACGCAGATGCCTGCATACTAAAAGGAGACATCTGCACATCTCCAGACAAAAGGAATATTCTTTTATTTCCTGAGTAATGGACGGACTATCATACCAAGAGATTAAAATATTACCTTTACCTTATTTTAATAGATACTGAAAATCGGGGGTTTTCCACTTGATTTCTTACTTGTTTCACCATATCTCGAACAAGCTCTGGCTTGTTTATTAAGCAAGCTCCATAACCTTCTGCCAATGCCCACCTTCATAAAGTAAACATAACAACAGACAAATGGTAAACAACTGGAAGAGTAGATGCAATTCTAAAAGCACAGTAAGTGCATTTATCTATTTCTCTACTGAGCAATCTGGAATGGAATTGTACTTTTTAAAATTCATAGATCCAACATTTCTAAGTGTATCAAGATTAGGAAAACATGTTCCCAGATCAAGAAGTATTTAGGGGAAATGGCTTTCACTGGCAAGTGAGAAAATTAAAGTTCATTCAACCAAAACAGATTTAAGTATTTGTAATTAATTGTAATTACTTCAGAATTTTTCAACTCCAAATGTGATGTTTATTATACATAACAAGAAGTTTTATTAATCTTAAGAGTAGAAAGATATTTTTGGCTTACAGCATTCCAACAGCACTAAACAGCTTATTGAACTCTACTAATGAGTATATAAACATGTCTAATCTGATTTGGATTATGCTATATGTAAAACCTTGACTTCATTCTTTGAACATATTTTGAATTATTGACAGATAATCTAGTATGGTGCCAAGAGGTAAGGATATTATCATCAAATTAAGCACATTCTATCAACACCCAGTTACTCAGACTCAACCAAGTAACTGTAGTATAAGGAGAGAAGGTAATTATAAGAAGGTATTCTTATAACTGAGATTAAGTAAGAGAAAACAAGTGGTGATCTCTAAAATCATGGAATCACAGTGCTTGAAGTATGTCTAACATAGCAGTAAAAATACATTTTAGGGGTTGTTATAAACATCAGAGTCTCACATAACTACTTATGGATGAGGTTCAAGGCAGATCCACACATAAAAAAATTCTAGTGGTGAGGTGAGACAAAAACTTGTCAAGGGTCTACACACTGTTGCAGCCATCAAAAAATATCTTTGCATGTGTGTTTCTAAATAATATTTCCTTAGTTTTTCTTGCTTCTTAGAGCCCAAGTTCTTTATGTCTATTTTCCTTACTTTTCAGTTTTTGGAATACCAGAATGATAGTTTACCATGTTCACTAGTTTTTCCTAATCTTTTGAAAATTCTTCCAACTTCTTTGAGCTTTACCTCTGAGGGCAACCACAGTTAATGTCTATTCCATTCGCATAAGGACAGACTATATGAGCAGCATCAGATAAAAGTCTTGCATCATTAGCAGCAAACTGAACAATCAATGGGCAATCACCTGATAAAATGAACAGCTCAACATTAAAATTCACAAACACACACACACATGATATAACAAATTTTAATGTTCATACAGGATAAAATCCTATTTTTAGACTAAGAAGCATGTGTTCAAACAAGATAGCATTAAAATAATTTAAAATATTTTAAATTATTACATGCACTTTAGACTTGGTACAAATTCAAACAGTACAAAATTTGATAAAATGAAAAGTATAACACTTTTGCCAAACAGACTCCTTTCCTAAAGGTGAGATTATACTGCATTCTAAAACATTACGAACACCTGTAAAATTTAAGCAACTGTTAACATTCTAAATACATTGCTATCCCTATGGTGTTTTCCCCTGATGTACCTGGGATCTATACATAGACCTATTTTCTTCTTTTTAGTGCATATTCCACTATGATGGGTAAACTACAGACTGTTTTTTATTTGAGGCTCTTGCAAATAATGTTGCAATGAAGATACTCTTACATACATATTTTTGTGAGTATATTCATGAAGTAAATTCCTAGGAGTATAACTGCTGGGCAGGTATTAACATTTTGAAAGATACTACAAAATTTTCTTAGAAGAGTTTACTGATACACATATATGCCAATATGGATGACAGTTCTGGTTTCGTTACAACTTATCCTACACTGTATATGTAACAACATATTTTTTATTTGTAGCCTTTCTCTCCATACTTTTTGCAGAGTTCTCTATGTGCAATTTTTCTTTTGGTTGCTCCCTTTTTATTATTTAAATTTAAAAATAAAACGATTAGTTCTGCTTTCTATCATAAACATCAAAATATTCTATTTTCTCCAGTTTTTAGTTTGTCTTTGAGTATTATCTGTGCCCTTTTCTTATATATAACAGTCTAAATTTTAATATAGCCAAATGTATCAGAACATTCCTAGGTTTTAAAGGACAGATTTTCCTCATCTTTGGACACTATAGATTTTGAATAGATGTATTTTGGCTTTTCTAAAGGTTTTTTAAAGACTACCTGTATGAGATTTGCTGGGTATTTACCCAAATGCAGGTTTCTTGCTATGGCTCTAGTTCCACTGACTCAGAATTTCTATGGCAATCTACTGATTTACAGGATTATCAGAGGAATGGAGAATAAGTTTTTTCCTGAGGATACAGGTAGGGTTCCTTCTGCTTCGTAACTCAAGAGAGTTATAAAATTTCAATTTAACAACCATTTATTGGTCAAATATATTTTCAACGCTGGGTTAGAAGCTGAGGATACAAATCCACAAGAAAAAAATTCCAACCCTCAAGAAGCCCATTGTCTGGGGGAGAGACAGGCACGTAAGGAGGAAATCACAGTACAGTACGATTAAGTGCAAGGAAAAGCCTGTGCTTGGGAAACAGACATGAATGGAGCATGGTTAGGAAAGCTCCTCAGTCACAACTTTAGAGCATTAAGACGCATGAAGGGTCCTTTCCCAGAGAGACAGGGCTAAGGGGACAGGCCTGACTAAGAAGGATGCTGTAGGTGGAGCATGTGAGACATCAGGGCATGTTCAGGGACTTCAAATAACTTAGTATTTTGAAGAATAAAGTCAGCGGGCCATGGAGAAAAACTGATGGAAGATAAGGCTGCAGAACATGTGTTCAGTGTTCTGGATCATGAAGAACTTTCTATATTGTCTACACGTGCGGGAATTTTCCTCTTTAGGTCAGTGGCTCTCAATCTTTACCAAGCTCAGAAGCACCTGAAGGGCTTTTAAAAACACAGATTGCTTGTGACATACCGAGTTTCTGATTAAGCAGGCTTGGAGTGGAGTCTGGAATTTCCATTTCTAATGAGTTTTCAGATAATGCTGATGCTATCTGGTCTGGGAAATCACACTTTGAGAACCACTGCTTTAGGTGATGAGAGGTCTAAGGAGGATCTTGAGTTAGGGAAAAGAAGTGATCAAATTTAAGTTCCAGAGAGATCACTTGGAGCTGTCTGCAGGACAGTTTGGGATGGGATAAGGCTGGTGGCAGTGAGATAGGAATCTGCCAGATGAGAGAATGGGGGCCTGAATGGAGGCTGACTGACACTTTGATAAATTATTCATAGTTTACAAGGCACTGAGGAAAAGCACATTGTAAAAAACTTATTAAAAATTTTACAGAAAACTGAAAGACTTTAAAATAAACTCTCCGAATTAATTCTGTTGTCTGATTAGACAAGAGTGTTGAGGTTTTTGTTGTTGTTGTTTTGTTTTTTAAGTTTTACAAAGACAGCAAACTCTGGCTTTCACATACCTTGATTTGTTGTAAATTCACTGTCTCTGGCTTTTGCAGATCTGACAAAATCAGCAGCAACTATCATTGGTGTATAGCACAGATCACAATCATATTTTCTGACTAGTGTTCTAAAAGACAACCTGTGAGCATATAAAATTTTAATTAGGCATTCAGAAAGCATGATAACCCTATCTTCTTCAGAGTTTAGTTATTCATTAAATATTTATTAAAGTTCTGCTACAGAAAGATGCAGTAGATGTACTCTTCCTATTCCTCCTGCTTAGTGTAACTAAAAACTCTGGATATTATATACAAAACAAACATAAGCAAACTCTGAAAGGGGCAGAGAAGAGAGCAGACAGGCTAGTGACCTTGGGCAGGACCTAAGGAATGACAGTGGTGAGTTCCGCGAGTTTTGTTTTTCCCTCAAATATCCTAGGTTTGAAACTGAAGAAGCTGGCAACCTGGAAACAGCAATGGATGCAGACAGAAACAGTCCCAGCAAAAGCCTGCTCATTCTACCCAAGGGCCAAGAAGGGGGCAGCCTAGCAAGCTTTTAGATAATAACGACTCGACTCCAGCACAACACCAGAGAAAAATCTGTGGCCTGCACCTCCACAAGCAAAGCTCGAGTGGGGAGCCTGGACTTCTAGCCTTCCAAAGCTGACACAAAGTTCTCTAATGCCCATCCCACGGTGGTGTTAGAGAATGCCAGGTGGGGAACTGGGACTTTAATCCTTGCTGGCCAGAAACAAGGAGGCTATCAGTGGAGACCAAGTGGGGGGCCTGGAATTCTACACCAACAGTGCAGCAGCAAGGCACCCCTCTCCCTCACCGCAGGAACAGTTTCAGAGAATGCTTAGTGAAGAGCCAGACCTTTCATCATTGCTCAGCAGTTACCAGGCCACCCCCTGCATGGGGAGCTGGAACTCTTAGCCCCTCTCAGCGGTAATGAGGAGCCTTATGCCCCTGGGGTGTCAAAGGAGACCAAGTGGAAAACCTAGACTTTACCTCTACCTGAGCGTAATGAGGTGGTGCTTTCTCATCCTTCCCCTGCTGTGGTGGTATCAGAAAAAGCTAGTTAGAGCAGAAGTTTCAATATTAGAATCAAGCACTGTAATCCACCATATTAACAGGCTAAAGAAAAAAAAAATCACATGACTGTATCAACTGATGCAGAAAAAGCACTTGACAAAACAGCATTCAGGATTAAAAACTAAGACCTCCCAGAAAAACAGGAATAGAAGGAACTTTCTCAACTTGATGAGGAACATCCACAAAAAATTCTGCTGCTGCTGCTGCTGAGTAGCTTCAGTCGTGTCTGACTCTGCGCGACCCCGTAGATGGCAGCCCACTAGGCTCCCCCATCCCCGGGATTCTCCAGGCAAGAACACTAGAGTGGGTTGCCATTTCCTTCTCCAATGCATGAAAGTGAAACGTGAAAGTGAAGTTGCTCAATCGTGTCCAACTCAGCAACCCCATGGATTGCAGCCTACCAGGCTCCTCTGTTCATGGGATTTTCCAGGCAAGAGTACTGGAGTGGGGTGCCATTGCCTTCTCCGAAAAAATTCTACACTTCATATTATACTTAAAGGTGAAAGAATACCGCCCCCTCACCCCCCCAGATCAAGAACAAGGGAAAGATGTCTGCTCTCATCATTCTTATTCAGCACAGTGTTGGAACTTTAGTCAGTGCAATGAGGCATGAAAATGAAATAAAAGGCATCAGATGGAAAGGAAGAAGTAAAACTATCTCTATTTGTAAGTGACATAACTGTCTACTTAGATAATCCTAAGGAATTTATAAGAGGAACCTCCTAGAAGCAATAAGTAAACATAGCAAAGTAACAGAATCTAAGAATAAAACACAAAAAGCAATTTTACTTCTATATACCAGCAATGAACAAATGAACACCAAAATTAAAAGTATAATAATTGAGTGTAAGCCTTACAAAATATGGACAGAATTTGAATGCTGAAAACTATACAACATTGATGAAGGAAGTCAAAGAAGATCTAAATAAATGGAGAGATACTGTGTTCATAAGGAGACTCAATGCAACAAGGAATTCAATTCTCCCCAAATTGATATGCATATTTAATACAATTCTTATGAAAATTCCACTAAGATTTTTTTTGTAGGTAGAGAAAAGATCATCCTAAAATCATTTGGAAAGGCAAAGGAACTAGCTAAATCAACTTTGAAANCTTTTGAACTGTGGTGTTGGAGAAGACTCTTGAGAGTCCCTTGGACTGCAAGGAGATCCAATCAGTCCATCCTAAAGGAGATCAGTCCTGGGTGTTCATTGGAAGGACTGATATTGAAGCTGAAACTCCAATACTTCGGCCACCTGATGTGAAGAGTTGACTCATTTGAAAAGACTGATGCTGGGAAAGACTGAGGGCAGGAGGAGAAGGGAACCACAGAGGATGAGATGGTTGGATGGCATCACTGACACAATGCACATGGGTTTGTGTGGACTCCAGGACTTGGTGATGGACAGGGAGGCCTGGCGTGCTGCAGTTCATGGGCTTGCAAAGAGTTGGACATGACTGAGCAACTGAACTGAACTGACAGTAATCAAGACTGTGTGGTACTGGTAGAGGGACACGTAGATCAATAGACCAGAGAGTGCAGAAAAAGAACCATATAAACATGCTCAGCTGAGTTTTGATAAAGATGCAAAAGTAATTCAATAATGGAAAGACAGCCTTTTCAACAAATGGTGCTGGAATAGACAACTGTCAGCAAAAAACAATAAACCAACCAACCTGAGCCTAAGTCTCACACTTACATAGAAACGAGGAATTATGAACTTAAATGTAAAACAGAAACTAGAAGACTTTAAGAAAAAAAAGTAGGACAGAATCTTTAATATCTACAGCTACATAAAGACTTCTTATACTTGAAAACAAAAGCACAATCTGCAAAGGAAATATGGATAAGATGGACTTCATCATTAAGTAAAAACTTTTTCTCTGCAAAAGACATGGCAAGAGAATGGAAAAACAAGCTACATGCCAGGGGAACACGTATGTGAGCCATCTAGCTGACAAAAGGTCTGTCTATAACATATAACTGCTACTGCTAAGTCACTTCAGTCGTGTCCGATTCTGTGCGACCCCATCCCTGGGATTCTCCAGGCAAGAACACTAGAGTGGGTTGCCATTTCCTTCTCCAATGCATGAAAGTGAAACGTGAAAGTGAAGTTGCTCAATCGTGTCCAACTCAGCAACCCCATGGATTGCAGCCTACCAGGCTCCTCTGTTCATGGGATTTTCCAGGCAAGAGTACTGGAGTGGGGTGCCATTGCCTTCTCCGAAAAAATTCTACACTTCATATTATACTTAAAGGTGAAAGAATACCGCCCCCTCACCCCCCCAGATCAAGAACAAGGGAAAGATGTCTGCTCTCATCATTCTTATTCAGCACAGTGTTGGAACTTTAGTCAGTGCAATGAGGCATGAAAATGAAATAAAAGGCATCAGATGGAAAGGAAGAAGTAAAACTATCTCTATTTGTAAGTGACATAACTGTCTACTTAGATAATCCTAAGGAATTTATAAGAGGAACCTCCTAGAAGCAATAAGTAAACATAGCAAAGTAACAGAATCTAAGAATAAAACACAAAAAGCAATTTTACTTCTATATACCAGCAATGAACAAATGAACACCAAAATTAAAAGTATAATAATTGAGTGTAAGCCTTACAAAATATGGACAGAATTTGAATGCTGAAAACTATACAACATTGATGAAGGAAGTCAAAGAAGATCTAAATAAATGGAGAGATACTGTGTTCATAAGGAGACTCAATGCAACAAGGAATTCAATTCTCCCCAAATTGATATGCATATTTAATACAATTCTTATGAAAATTCCACTAAGATTTTTTTTGTAGGTAGAGAAAAGATCATCCTAAAATCATTTGGAAAGGCAAAGGAACTAGCTAAATCAACTTTGAAAAAGAAAAGTGGGATTTATCAGATTACTTAATTTCAAGACTTATTACAATAAACTGTAGAAAATTCTTCAAGAGATGGGAATACCAGACCACCTGACTTGAGAAACCTGCATGCAGGTCAGGAAGCACCAGTTAGAACTGGACATGGAACAACAGACTGGTTCCAAATAGGGAAAGGAGTACGTCAAGTCTGTATATTGTCACCCTGCTTATTTAACTTATAAGCAGAGTACATCATGAGGAATGCTGGGCTGGAGGAAGCACAGGCTGGAATCAAGATTGCCTGGAGAAATATCAATAACCTCAGATATGCAGATGACACCACCCTTATGGCAGAAAGTGAAGAGGAACTAAAAAGCCTCTTGATGAAAGTGAAAGAGGAGAGTGAAAAAGTTGGCTTAAAGCTCAACATTCAGAAAACTAAGATCATGGCATCTGGTCCCATCACCTCATGGGAAATAGATGGGGAAACAGTGGAAACAGTGTCAGACTTTATTTTTTTGGGCTCCAAAATCACTGCAGATGGTGACTGCAGCCATGAAATTAAAAGACGCTTACTCCTTGGAAGGAAAGTTATGACCAACCTAGACAGCATATTAAAAAGCAGAGACATCACTTTGTCAACAAAGGTCTGTCTAGTCAAGGCTATGGTTTTTCCAGTAGTCGTGTATGGATGTGAGAGTTGGACTATAAAGAAAGCTGAGCGCTGAAGAATTGAACTGTGGTGTTGGAGAAGACACTTGAGAGTCCCTTGGACTGCAAGGAGATCCAATCAGTCCATCCTAAAGGAGATCAGTCCTGGGTGTTCATTGGAAGGACTGATATTGAAGCTGAAACTCCAATACTTCGGCCACCTGATGTGAAGAGTTGACTCATTTGAAAAGACTGATGCTGGGAAAGACTGAGGGCAGGAGGAGAAGGGAACCACAGAGGATGAGATGGTTGGATGGCATCACTGACACAATGCACATGGGTTTGTGTGGACTCCAGGACTTGGTGATGGACAGGGAGGCCTGGCGTGCTGCAGTTCATGGGCTTGCAAAGAGTTGGACATGACTGAGCAACTGAACTGAACTGAACTGACAGTAATCAAGACTGTGTGGTACTGGTAGAGGGACACGTAGATCAATAGACCAGAGAGTGCAGAAAAAGAACCATATAAACATGCTCAGCTGAGTTTTGATAAAGATGCAAAAGTAATTCAATAATGGAAAGACAGCCTTTTCAACAAATGGTGCTGGAATAGACAACTGTCAGCAAAAAACAATAAACCAACCAACCTGAGCCTAAGTCTCACACTTACATAGAAACGAGGAATTATGAACTTAAATGTAAAACAGAAACTAGAAGACTTTAAGAAAAAAAAGTAGGACAGAATCTTTAATATCTACAGCTACATAAAGACTTCTTATACTTGAAAACAAAAGCACAATCTGCAAAGGAAATATGGATAAGATGGACTTCATCATTAAGTAAAAACTTTTTCTCTGCAAAAGACATGGCAAGAGAATGGAAAAACAAGCTACATGCCAGGGGAACACGTATGTGAGCCATCTAGCTGACAAAAGGTCTGTCTATAACATATAACTGCTACTGCTAAGTCACTTCAGTCGTGTCCGATTCTGTGCGACCCCATCCCTGGGATTCTCCAGGCAAGAACACTGGGGTGGGTTGCCATTTCCTTCTCCAATGCATAAAAGTGAAAAGTGAAAGCGAAGTTGCTCATAAAGGGCTCTTAAAACTCAAGAGCAAGCAAAACTGGGACAACAAAAAAACCAAACAATCTTGATTAAAAAATGGGCAAAGGGTTTGAAGAGATTTCTCCAAAGAAGATACCCAAATGGCCAATGAGCACAGGAAAAGATGTTTAACATCACTAAAAAGATACAAATAAAAACCACAATGAGATAATTCACATTCATTAGGATGGCTATTAAAACAAAAACAACCCCAAGAAACAGTAAGTGTTGAATGCTGAGAAACTGAAACTCCTATACACTGCTGGTAGGAATGTAAAATGGTGTAGGTACTATAGTAAACAGAAGGGCAATGCCACAAAAATTAAAAACAGAATTGCCACTTAATCTAGCAATTCCACTTCTGGGCAAATACCCCAAAGAACAAAAAGTAAGGTCTCAAAAAGATATTTATATATACATGTTCATAGAAACATTATTCCCAAGAGTCAAAAGATGGAAGCTAACTCAAGCTGGGCTGAATGAATGAATGGATAAACAAAATGTAATATATACACAAAATGGAATATTATTCATTCTTAAAAAGGAGGAAATTCTGATACATGGTACACATGAGTAAACCTTGAGGATTAGGCTCAGTGAAATAAGCCAGTCTTAAAAAGACAAATACTGTGACCACTTAGATCATACACATGCCAAGCAGGTAACAGCATCAGGACTCAAGTCTGTACCCTAGTCCCAAAGCTAGGCATTTGAAGATCCATGTGGTCGGGTGGTCTTACTTTTTAAAAAGTCAGAGCATAAAAAGGAAATCAAACCTAAGCTCATTAACCATTTAACACTTACTTTGAATACCGCACCATTGGGGCACAGACTTTGACCAGTTGCCCAGAATGAAACATTTCTATTGGATCTTTTTTTCTTTCTTGACATGTTGTAGTTTGTATGCAGTCACTCTTCATGAAAACAGATTTGTTTCAAATCTGAAAAAGACAATTAGTTTGCATGGAGGAAGGCACTTTCACTGGAATCCCATCATTCTTACAATTTCAACCGCCAAGAACAGGAATTTTTCATTAGGGTTTGTAGGCTTAGGGATCTTAGTTTCTTTTCACAGTATTGAATAGGATACTGCCGAATTCTGACTTTATTTATAGGCATGGATAGTTTTTAGCACACTGTGAAATTATAACATATTTTATATAAATTATGCTTGTTCAAGTAAAAAACTAACACTTTTGAATTCTTTTTTTTGTCTTTATTTTTTATTTATTTATTTATTTATTTTATTTTATTTTATTTTTTCCATTTAACACTTTTGAATTCTATACTTAACTGACTATAGTAACAATTTCTGCTCAAGTTAATAAGTGCTCAGGATGTGCCAAATTAAAAGATGTTTTCCTAGAATACATGTCGTTACAGTTTTTCCATTTCACTTTGTTTGGCATTGATTTAACCAAGAAATTTGATTAAATCAATTCATATATAGTACTAAGTATGAAATACCATTTTGATATTGAAATATCATTTGAAATGATATTGAAATATCACTTTGAAATATCATTTTTTTATCCAGGAAAGTTAAATGGTAGTAACAGAACAGCTTAAGTACCGAGCATTTCAAAAGATATACTGGTATGTTTAATGTTTATTCTTATTCTCAAATCCTATTCTTTTTATTTGAATCAGAAAGCAAACAAACTTTTAATTATATTTTTAAACATTTAAATGTTTTGTGAACATTGTTTCAAGAAAATCTCAATTGTAATCACATAGCTGCATAGTAAATCACTATTATACCCAGAGGGACAAGTGATTAAATTAGGTAATTCCTAAGTGTTTTACAGTTGCTATATTGTACTTAAAATCTTATCATTTCATAGTGTTGGCTGCTTACTATATTCCAATTCTGGCCTTAGTAATTTAAAAACAAATATTGGCCAACTTTAGAAAAGTCTAATTGCTCACCATGAAATTTTTTGGTTGGCTAAATCTTAAAGTATTGATATAACCTAAATATAAACTAATAATTTAATTTCCTTAGGTAGAATGTACAGGTGGACTAAGAAACTAGTTTTATGGATCACTGTTTATGAGTTTATCACCATTTATCATCTGACAGCAAACATTTATAGGTGTGTCAACTAAGTGGTACCTTTAATTAAACCCTGAGCCCATCTTCATCGGCTCATAGTCCCTGTATTCTTAATTCCCCATCCCGAGGACCCCGACAATGTGTTTGGAATCCCAGTTGATCTTATTTTCATCCATTCAACAAAGATTAAGTTCCTGCTACATGCTGAGAACACAGATGAAAGTTTTTTTGGTGTCTTAAAAAAATGTATTAAAATTACACTATAACGCTAATACACACACTCAGACACAATTTCAGCATCGCAGAAATAACTGCAGTGAGGAGTCACTGAAGTTGGGGAAGTGTCCAGTTACAGAGAACAGTACAAAGAATATGACAGCAGCATGAAAATGCTGGATGCTTTCAGTGAACCATTAATAGTTCAGCACGGCTCGAGCTGTAACTAGACAGGATGTGACAGGGCCTAAATAGTAATGGGCTTTATACACCAGGTTAAGACTTTTTAGATTTATACTCTACGGCCTTGGTTGTCAGACACTTGTCCTCCTCTGTGGATAATTTTTACATGTGCACTCAACATGTTAACGTATGCATATGACACACTTCCATGGGCATATATTCTTGTGTAAGTTGTTTGTCTCCCCCCTTGTACACTAGTTACAATTGAAAAAAATTTAGCAGGGAAATGAAGCATGATCAGATTTCTCGTTTGGAAAGATTTCACTGGAGGGGTTAGGGGTGTTGATAAAAACATCAGTAAGGAGGCCACTGTAGTAGACCAAGCCATGTGTGATGAGTATCTGATCTGGGAGTCTAGGAGTGAGGAAAGAGGAAAGAGAATGCATTTAGGAGCTATTTAGAAATAAAAATAAACTAGCAAGACATTTAAGGGTTGGAAATCACCTGATGACAGCACAAGTTATATGTGGTAAGAGAGAATAATAGGGTGATGTCAACATTTTTGGCTTTAGAGACTGGTGGATGGCAACTGCAATCAAGGAGACAGAATCAGAAGGAAGAACAGACAGGCTTTGGCAGGGAAACATGAGTCAATGCTTGGGCACATCAAAGAGGTACTCAGCTGACTTCCAGGTGGTGATGCCTCATATGGGTTATATAGATATGGTTCTCAAGAAAAAGCTAGAGATACAGATTGAGAGTCTTTAACCTCTAGGTTAAACCAGAGATTGCCAACATCCATTTGATCATTGAAAAAGCACGAGAGTTCCAGAAAAACATCTACTTCTGCTTTATTGACTATGCCAAAGCCTTTGACTGTGTGGATCACAGTAAACTGTGGAAAATTCTGAAAGAGATGGGAAAACCAGACCACCTTACCTGCCTCCTGAGAAATATGTATGCAGGTCAAGAAGCAACAGTTGGAACTGGACATGGAACAACAGACTGGTTTCAAATCAGGAAAAGAGTATGTCAAGGATATATACTGTCACTCTGCTTATTTAACTTATATGTAGAGTACATCATGTGAAATGCCAGGCTGGATGAAGCACAATCTGGAATTAAGATTGCCAGGAGAAATATCAATAACCTCGGTACGCAGATGACAGCACCCTTGTGGCAGAAAGTGAAGAACTAAAAAGCCTCTTGATGAAGGTGAAAGAGGAGAGTGAAAATGTTGGCTTAAAACTCAACATTAGAAAACGAAGATCACAGCATCTGGTCCCATCACTTCATGGCAAATAGATGGGGAAATAATGAAAACAGTGAAAGACTTTATTTTCTTGGCCTCCAAAATTACTGCAGATGGTGACTGCAGCCATGAAATTAAAAAGACACTTGCTCTTTGGAAGAAAAGATATGACCAACCTAGACAGCATATTAGAAAGCAGAGACATTACTTTGCCGACAAATCTACGGTTTTTCCAGTAGTCACGTATGGATGTGAGAACTGGAGTATAAAGAAAGCTGAGTGCCGAAGAATGGATGCTTTTGAACTGTGGTGTTGAAGACTCTTGAACTTCAAGGAGATCAAACCAGTCCATCTGAAAGGAAATCAGTCTTGAATATTTATTGGAAGGACTGATGCTAAAGCTGAAACTCCAATACTTTGGCCACCTGATGTGAAGAAAAGACCTTGATGCTGGGAAAGATTGAATGCAGGAGGAGAAGGGGACGAGAGAGGATGAGGTGGCTGGATGGCATCACTGACTTGATGGATATGAGTTTGAGTTGGTGATGGACAGGGAAGCCTGGCATGCTGCAGTCCATGGTGTCTCAAAGAGTCTGACTGAGAGACTGAAGTGAACCTCTAGGTAATACGTTGAAACTAAAAACATGGACAAAGTACTTATGGGTACCATATTGTGTAGAAATCATTAAAAGCACCAACATTTAAGTAAAAAGGGAGAAAAAATTTGAATATAAAGGAGACAGCAAGGTGAACTTGGGAGCTGGAAGTAATAAACTTGAAATATTGATATTCAGAAGCCAAGAGAGGGGTATATTATTACAAAGGAGGGAGGGGATGAGCATCTTAAACATTACAGAAGAGTCAGGTGAGGTAAAGACTAAAAAGCTAGTCCAATGGCAATTAGGTCACTGTGACTTTAGCAGGAATAATTTCATTCTTATTCACTCTTATTCCCTTACATGGCACAAAGAGTTCCCTTAATGTTTTTGCTGAATGAAGAAATCAGTAGTTCTCAATTTCTGTTGTACATTAGAATGAGGTAGGGAGATTTCAAGCAGGATGCCCAAATGATACCCCAGAGCAATTACATGTGACTATCTGGGCTTAGGATATAGGTATCAGTGGTTTTTAAAGATTTCCAGGTGATTTTAATGTGCAGTTAAGCTTTGGAATAAACAAATCCATATCCTCCAAAGCACATGATACTACTGTTTTGTTTAAATGGGTTTATATGTACCTGTTAGCTCCTTTGGGATAAGACAGGAATTGAGTCTAATGTTTTACACTCATGCTGGTATATACAGGTAGAGATTCAAAATTCTTCATTGAATGAATGAATGTTCTGCAACTTTTCGATTTAAAGCCAGGAAAGGAAAAATGATCCATAATTCAAAGACAATGCTTACTTAAAAATTATTAGTCGAATTTTGTTTATTATTGATAATGAAAACTAACGTGACTCTGGGCACATTGCTCTTGGCAACTTGTGAGACCTCCATTCAGAACAATCAATCTGATTCACACCAGGATTGATATCAAATATATTAGGGAAGAACCTCTGTGACAAAGTCAAGGCTAAGCATAAGGCAGTGAGCTGAGACTTGCTTGCTTGAGTTCTTATGAGTATCTATACGTTTAGATTTATAAAATACCTCAAACAGCGTTTGGCACGGTTAAGTATATTTCACATTCTCGAAAATCTGTTAGCAGAATTAAGAGAACCTGTAGTTGTTGCACTGGGAAAAATTGGTTCCCTGTGTACATACTCACTGTACACATAGGAAAACGTATGATCATTTTACAAAGAAAAGCTTAAGCTTCTTGCATACGTGTGGCTGACCTGTTAACTTACTATTAATTTATCGAGGGAGAAGTAGAGGTGAACAGTGCCGATGTAATGGTAACTAACTTGATCTTACAGCTCAAAAAATGGAAAATTCATCAATTTGTAATAAGGAGAAGTCTAGTGTCGCTCACGACACGTGGCTGAAGCTAAGCAGTAGAAAAATCTAAGGATACTGTCTCATGGGAGAGTAGGTCCCACTTATTTCTGTTTCAGTTGTCCTACTTCACCGATTTTCGGCTCTTCCTAATTCTCCCCACTATTCATTCGTGGCAACCTTCCTCTCCAAGCTTTCACCACTTGCCTTTACTCCAAGAATGCGAAGCAAGGCATGTCGCAGATACAGGTGACATGAAAGTCGCTCAGTCGTGTCCGACTCTTTGCGACACCATCGACTTGTAGAGCCCATGGGATTCTCCAGGCCAGAATACTGGAGTGGGTAGCCTTTCCCTCCTCCAGGGGATCTTCCGAACCCAGGGATCGAACCCATGTCTCCCACATTGCAGGCGGATTCTTTACCGGCTGAGCCACAAGCGAAGCAGACACAGGTAGGTGGCTATTAACACCCGCCAGCCGTACTACAGGCGGGCAAACGAAGTTCCCAGAAGCCTCCGCTCTCTTGCCTCCATCAAGAGGCTTCTGTTCTTAGGTTAATTAAACACTTGCTTCGGCGGGAAACGACGAGGCCACGTCTTGGTGCTCACCTTCTCCTCCGCCCGGAGAACACTGCTAGCAGCAGGGGTGCGGCGGGACACGGAGGAAAGCGCCCGTCCCGCGACCTCGGCTTCCTCAACGCGCTGGACCCTCAGTGCCCACCAGACCCGGGCACCACGCCGCTCACTGGCAGGTTCGGTCCAACACAGTAGAGCAGATCCTCCTAGTCTGCCGGGAGCCGCGGACTGGGCAGAGCGTGCGGCGCCGAAATTCTGCGTCATCATCTGGGCGGGGCGCGCCGCTGTGACGGCATCACTCCCGCACCAGCCAACATGGAAGGTGGCGACGGCGGAGTCTCTATGGCTGGCCGTGGGGCTCCGGGGTCCGGAGCGGCTGCAGCCACTGTCCGGGAGCTCCTGCAGGACGGTAAGGGGGGGGCCGAGCTGTGGTCGGGCCATGGGGCTTGGGAGCTGTCTGCTCCGCACTTGGGCCTGGGTGGTGGATTCAACCCGTCGCTTTGCAGAAAGTTTTCCGTTCTCGACGTGACCACTCCCCTCCGCCCGGCCCACTGGCATCTGGGTGCCGGCCTTGCCAACGTGTTTCCCTAGGGACTTTCTGACCGGTTTCTTTCCGGTTGCCCTGGGGACGCCTGATTTTGGAGGCTCTTCATTTCAGCTCTACTCTTCACGCTCCTGGGGCTTTGCTGATGTCCCGAGTTTCCGCACCCGGTGACCTACTGCTACCGCAGTTCTTGACCAAAGGGTGAAGCGTTTAACCCCATGAAAAGTGTAACAACTAGGACAGATGACAAGCGCTTAGTGAAGGGGGGCTCTTTGTATGTAGATTTGGAAACATCCGCCCCTTTGACAAATTCTTGGACAGCACCGGTGGCCCGGTTTACAGCTCGCTTGTTTGTTACTAGTGGTTTATCCACAACCATACGTGGGGGAGGGTTCGGAGCATTCATTCAAGCTGGGATTAACCATATGTATTGAATATGGCAGTCAACTTTACTTATAGTTTTGGACAAATTGCTAGGAATAAGAAAAGTTAGACATACTACATTTGAGAAGCGCACAGAGTTGTCTTAGTGACATTAACATACTCTGAATCTGTTTTCTTTCAGAATAAAGTTCAAATTTCTAAAGACCCTTCTCATCTGTTCTTAATTTCCTTCCCAAATCAACATCACGTTCTACCTTGTATAAAAATGATTTGTGTACTTAGTCTTTTCTACTGCATTGTAAAATCCCTTTTTATATTCTGCAGAGTTACCTATGGTAGGTAGGTGCAGAGTGTTTTTAAAAACTGAACATCACACTGAGAAACATATGTACACATTTGTAGAACAAAATAGATTATAAATGAATGAAATAAACTTCTCAATTGCTGTTTTCTGTGTTGTATGTTTTATTATTGCCCTTGGTTTCTTTCCTTCTGATTATAATTTACATACTTTTGTCAAGATTTACTAACGATGTCATTTTCTGAACTAGATCGTGTTCTCCAGGATCTCTGGCTAATGCATCTTTGTATCTTAATTTAAATTCAGTTTTACGAAGTCTTGACTCCTGTTACATATAGAATTTCCACTCTTAAGTAGCTTACGATTTTGGTAGGGGAAATAGTCCTATAAAGTTATAAAGTTAGACACTTTAATATAGCATTGTAATGGTAGCAGTAGAATTGTATATGAAGTAAAACATGAATACAAAAGTGGATGATAACTGTTGGTGGTTAGAGAATGTCAAAAAAGACTAGTTGGAGTTGGTTTTGAAGTATAAATAGAACTTCTCCAGGTGAAGTGCACAGAGGTAGTACATGCCACACATAGGTATTGATATAGGTTTCACTCCAGGAATTGTAATCAGTTTTTGGAGGGTACATAATCCTCAGTTCTGCTTTCTATATTTTCCTATTTAGTTCTCTTTCTCATCTTCAACAGTAATTATTTAAATCTTCTTTACTTTTTTTCAAGCCACTCCCTTTGAGTTCAACAAATGGTTTTCAAGTTCCCTAAAAGAGAATCTGATACGAGCTTCCTCAGTTTCTTGCCGTTAAATCTGTGAACTAGCCTGAACCTGTCACCATCCTTTCTTCTATTTCATGGTATTTTTAATTACAAAAGAAGTGTACTGCTTCCAAAAGACAATCCCTCCTCTTGGTCTTCTGTATTTTCTTCCTACCTCCTCCAGGACCAGTTACTCTCATTCTGGGCCAGTTGAGATTGCTGTGCTTTGTGGATGTATCAAATGGACAGTTTTGGTCCTTATCTTACTTGATCTTATGAAAGGTTTTGACTTTTGAAATACTTTTACTCATGTGGCTTGTTAGTTGCATGGTTTTTGTTTGTTTGTTTGTTTTGTTTTTAAGTTTCCTTTTTCTTTAAGCGCTCTTTTTCAGCTTTCTTTAGATCCTTGTTGTCTTCATTGTGTCCCAATTCAGTGATTCACTCCACTCTTCCCCCCACAACATTCCTAAGAAAGTAAATATTCCCTTCAATAATAGTGATTCACTGTGTCAGGGATCTGCCAATTATGGAGGTTAGGATTGATATGGTTGAAATTTTGTGAGTTTTTGATGTGATGCCTGTAACAATGAGAAAACTATAAAAGAGAAGCGTTAGGGATATTCTGTCCTCCGATTCCAAAACCAGTGATTAGTATCCAGCCTTCACTATGTTTGATCTTTGTAATATCTTTGACACTACTGGCCACTTACTTTCTTTAAACTGTCCATTATGGTTTTTGCCATTCTCTCCTATTTTTCTTTCTCTCTGAACATTTAATTTCTTTGCTTTCATTTTTTATCTTTTTTTTTTTTTTAGTTCTACCACTTTATTGCTACCAACCCATCTCCCTCCACCTTCGTGCACACATGCTCAGTCATGTAACCCCATGGACTGCAGCCCGCCAGGCTCCTCTATGGACTTTCCCAGGCAAGAATACTGGAGTGGGTTGCCATTTCCTTCTCCATCATTTTTTATCTTTACCCCCAAATTTTGGTGTTTCCCTGCTTCTGAATTGTCCCCATTTTTTTTGTGCATTCTAAAGTGGCTTCCTAAATCATCTGGTCTTTTTTTTTTCCCCTTTGTTTGACTATTAATATCTTTGTACACAAATGTACACATAGATGGTCCTTACCTGTCTTCTGAGCTATAGAACCACTGTCTCCTGGACATTTCTATCTTGATAGTGAACAAGCACTACTAATTCTACATCTAAAAAATCTACATATGGTTTGCACTGCTCTATTTAAAATGGGTAACCAACAGGGACTTATTGTATAGCATATGGAGCTCTCAATGTTATGTGGCAGCCTGGATGGGAAGGGGGCTTGGGGGAGACTGGGTACATATATATGTGTGGCTGAGTCCCTTTGCTCTTCACCTGAAACTCACAACATTGTTAATCGGCTATACCCCAGTACAAAATAAAAAGTTGCTAAAAAGGCCCATGTATGAACAGATAGTATAGATTCTGCACATGAAAAAGTGAAGTCAATTTTTTTCACCCCTCTCCTCTAACCCTTTGCTCTAATAGTCTCTGTTATCATTAATTGTATGTGGTAAGTTAGGTGTGTGTTTGTTCTCCTCTAGGTTATGAGTTCTCTGGAGGCAGGGGTACATTCATGTTCATCTTTATTCGAAGATTACATGTCCGTTAATCAAGAAACTTGGGAATCATCTTTTAATTCTTGGTCTACCTAGTCACCCATTTTCAGCTTGTGTCTAAGTCCTGTACATTGTAGTGTCTGAATATTTGTCACGTTTGTCACTTCCTTGGCATTCTTAGTGCCACTGTGTTTGGTCTCCATCCTGTCACTTGGGCTGGTAACATAGCACCCTGCTGGCTCCTGTGGCTCTATTCAGTGAGCATGCTGGTAAACCAGCTTTCTGGGAAAAGAGCAAATCCCTGCTTTTGTATTATATACCAGTTTTCATGGTATAAATACCCTTAGCATGGTCAGTTTGAAGATACCTACATGAGATGTCAGCTGGCTCACACAATTCCTGAAAGTTTAGCAGTTGGCTCTCAGGAGTCAGTCTTGAGCCAGCCCCAGTACAGCACTGTGTGGCTAATCCCTTTTCAGTCATCCTCCATCCTGCTGCCAGAAACTGTTCTACAACACAAGGCTCACAGCACTCTTTCTTGGCTGTAAAACTTAAATGGGGTATAGTCTGAACATTTTGCTTGTTTTACCAGCCTCTTTTCAAACTGCACCCAGCCTTCCTTTGGAACCTCAAATCCTGCCGTTCTTTACCCTTTCTGTCAATATCCATTGTGATCTAGACATACTGAAGTCAGTATTATCCTTATTCCTCAGAATATGCCATTGTATTTGCTGCCTCTAAACCTTTGCTTTTGGAATAGCCTTCTCTACTTGTCTCCTGGCGGGATCCTTATTCTGAGAATTGCTTGGCAAACTCTAAGGAAATGGGATTCTCAGGATTAAGGCCAAAGTAGCAGTTTCTTTCTTTCACTCCACTTCGAGAGTAGTTAAGAATGAATCTCTGCTTTTAGCAGAATGATACTTGTAGCTGATGTATAGATTAATTCATTCAGCCAGTATTGAACACCTGTGTGTCAGGCATTGTTCAGGCTCTGTGGGTGTGGTAGTACAGAAAACAAAGACTGCCCTTGAGGAGCATATATTATAGTGAATATAGACAGTTGAACTTTTTGTAAAAGTACTCTATATTATGGCTTGTTTTATAATCTCTTGTCAAGGCAGTCTTACCTATATCTACCATATGGCTAGGAGATAATCCTTTTTACCTACATTGACTTCACTTCTGTATATCTATTTTTAATTCATAATTCCATTTTTTCTTTCACCCGTTTGTGGATTTCTATACAGAAAGTTATCTTAACAGCTATATTCACTCCTTTTTTCTTTCTTTTAAGGGCCTACGTTCAACATGGTTTCTGCTTCCTTTTACTTATTTCACTCAAATCCAAAATTTCAGTAATACCTGTAAGTTTGTATGTGCCTACTTCTTTTAAAATTTCAGATTCACTTTATTGTAACAGTATTTGTGCATCGATCTGGAGATACTGGAGGCCATAATTTTCAGATACAGTCAATTTTCTTATTGTTATTGACCTTGTTTTCTTGTGTTAAAAACTGTTGCTAGTATTTTTTTTCGATCTTTTCTCAATATTTTAATTTCCTGAGAACACTCGCTTTTTCGCTGTTGACTAATCACGGCCAGCTCTCTGTGGCCCAGGGACCGCAGTGTGCCAGGCCTCCCTGTCTCTCACTGTCTCACGGTTTTGCTCCAGCTCACGTCCTTTGAGCCAGTGGTACTCTCCAATTTTATCCTCTGTCGTCCTCTTCTCCTCCTGCCCGCAATCCTTTCTAGTATCAGCGTCTTTCCCAATGAATTGGCTCTTTCCATCAGCTGGTCAAAGTATTGGAGCTTCAGCATCACTCCTTCCAATGAATAATCAGGGTAGATTTCCTTTAGGATTCACTGATTTGGTCTCCTTGCTATCCAAGGGATTCTCAAGAGTCTTTTCCAGCATCACAATTTGAAGGCATCGATTCTTTGGTGCTCCTAAAAACTTAACTTTTAGGAGTATGCATAGTGGTCCAGAGGTGGGCTCTGGAGCTAGACTGCCTTGGGTTCAAACAATGAGATGGTAAAAGTTTCATGCCTTATCTCTGCCCATCTCTTCACCTGTGAAATGGGGAGAATGATATTTCCAACAGGGTTGTGTGCATATAGAATAAATTAGTATGAGTTCCAACAGGTCTGTGTGCATATTGGATGAGTTAGTATGTATAAAGTGCTTAGGTCAGTACGTGATGTGTAGGAATATTCTTAGTAAATATTGATACTCTTCTGCTATTGCCACCACCTCTTCCTTCTTCTTTACAACAGAAAGCCTTTTTGTTAGTTTTTGGTGTATACAAAGATCTCAAAATATGTTAACTGTGGTTACAGTTGTTATGTTGTTTAATTTCTGTGGTTTTGTTGTTTTTCATTCGCTAAGTCGTGTCTCACTCTTTGTGACCTCGTTAACTGCAGCACACCAGATTTCCTGGTCCTTCACTGTCTCCCAGAGTTTGCTCAAACTCATGTCCATTGAGTCAGTGATGCCATCCAAACATCTCATTCTCTGTCGTCCTCTTCTCCTCCTAGTATCTTTCCTAGTATCAGGGTCTTTTCCAATGAATGGACTCTTTCCAACAGGTGGCCAAAGTATTGGAGCTTCAGCATCAGTCCTTCCAATGAATATTCAGGGTTGATTTCCTTTAGGATTGACCGATTTGGTCTCTTTGTTGTCCAAGGGACTCTCAAGAGTCTTCTCCAGCATCACAGTTTGCAAGCATCAGTTCTTTGGCATGCAACCTTCTTTATGGTCTAACTCTTATTTTTGTACATGATTACTGGAAAAACCATAGCTTTGACTATATGGACCTTTGTCAGCAAAGTTATGTCTCTGCTTTTTAATATGCTGTATAGGTTTGTCATAGCTTTTCTTCCAAGGAGCAAACATCTTTTAATTTCACAGCTGCAGTCACCATCTGTAATGATTTTGGAGCCCAAGAAAATAAAATCTGCCACTGTTTCCATTTTTTCCCCATCCATTTGCCATGAAGTGATGGGACCAGATGCCATGATCTTTGGTTGAATGTTGGGTCTTTAAATCAGCTTTTTCACTCTCTTCTTTCATTCTTATCTAGAAGCTCTTTAATTCTTCTTCGCTTTCCACCATTAGAGTGGTATCATCTGCATATCTGAGGTTGTTCATATTTCTCCCAGTAGTCTTGATTCCACTTGTGATTCATCCAGCCCTGCATTTTGCATGGTATACTCTGCATATGTTAAGTAAGCAGAGTGACAATATACAACCTGATGAATTCCTTTCCCAATTTTAGACCAGTCTGTTGTTCCATCTGTGGTTTGGTGCAATGTGATTAATAATTTTTTTTATGTTTTCCCCAGAGTGTTATAGTGATTTTTTAAATGAAGACTTTGATGTAAAGACTTATACTTCTCAATCTATTCATCAAGCTGTAATTGCTGAACAACTAGCAAAACTTGCCCAAGGAATCAGTCAGTTGGATAAAGAACTACACTTACAGGTAATTCCAATCTTCTGGAGCATACAGTTTATCCCAGAGTGATTATATATCATTTTATAATCCTTTTATTATTTAATCTAAATGCATATTTATATGAACAAATGTATATTTTCCCAAGTGTGTGTGTGTGTGTGTGTGTGTGTGTGTGTGTGTGTGTATTTTAATTCTTGGCTGCGCCACACAGCATGTGGGATCTTAGTTCCCCAACCAGTTCTATGTGGATTGAACTCACATGTCCTGCCTTGGAAACATGGAGTCTTAATCCCTGGACCACCAGGAAAGTCCCTCCAAGTACATTTTTTAAAAGTTTTCTGGAAGCTACTTTTTGTCAGTTGAAAAATGGATATCCCATCTCTCCAAAACCTTTTATTCATACTTTGTTTTCATCGTCTCATCTGATATGGAGGGAATATAAGTTGGCAAAAAATAGGATGTCTTAGGGCTTTCCTGGTGGCTCAGACGGTAAAGAATCCACCTGCAATGCAGGAGACCCAGGTTTGATCCCTGGGTCAGGAAGATCACTTGGAGAAGGAAATGCAGCCCATGCCAGTGTTTTTGCCTGGAGAATTGAATGGATAGAGGAGCTTGACTGGCTACAGTTCTTGGGTTCACAAAGAGTTGGACACAACTGAGTAACTAACATTTGATAAAGATAATAGAAAATGGAATTTTGGAAGCAGAATAGTGTGAATAAGGAAAACTGTTCCCATCAGGAGTTCATACTTCATGAGCACAAAATGTAACATTTGATGAAATTGCAGATGGTTGATAAATTTGTGGTGGATAGGACACAAAAGGGGAGTTAGGAGATAGGTCTGAGTCTCAGTTGTGCTGTTACCTTTCATGTATATGATACCTTTGAGTCTTGCCTTTTTTTTCTGAGTAGGTACGTAAACATTTAAATTAATGAACAGTTGCATGAATAAATGTCTATTTACCAGGAAACCTAGATCTGGTATAGCATGAGACATGTTCCCTTAAACTTTTTTGTGTCTTTTTTTATCAGTTAAAAGAGCTACTTGTTTAGGACTGGGATGACTTCTAAGGTCAATTTAACTGTAAAATTCTGATTATATAGTTAGAAATCAATTACTTATGGTCACTTTTAATAGTCTGGTTTGCTGTAGTCTGTGGGAATAGAAAAATGAACGTATTTCCTCGCTCTCTGAGCATTCACAGACCAGTGGCAGATACAGACAGAAATAATGACAGGCAAGTGATGCCTCTTTTAAGTAGAGTAGTACACAGTGTTTATGGGGACAGGGGAAAACTCTCTTAATTCTGCCTATGTTTCTTGGGGTAGCTTTTTGCAGAAGCTACCTGAAATTCTTTCTGTCTTTTTGTGGTTGGCATTTTCCTTATCCTTTGCATGTAGTAACTTCTCTAAAGGAATCAGTAAAAACTAGAGGGCAAGTTATACTTAACAGCAGTTTTGGATGTGGGATTGAGAAAAATCTCAGTCCTGGTATGAGATCTGAACCTGCTGTAATTGTTTTTCTGCAGAAGCAAAATTGGAATAATGCTGACCGAACTCATAAATAAAATATCAAAATAATTTAAAATATCAGTGAGATGATTTAAATTACAAAAGATGTACAGAGATAAGTATCAGTCAGGACTTTAGTACAGGAAACAAATCACTCTAGGTATTTAAAGCAGGAAGATACTTAATAGAGAGGACTGGATGGACAGCTGAAAGACAGGGCGGAAGGATCTACCCTGAATGCAGCCCGGGGCCTGCACGCACCTGCTGTTAACTCCTGTGTCCCCGCTGAAGTTCAGCTTCTGGGTGCCTGAGCTCTGGTAACTGGACTCTGGAATGATGAATAGGGCTGTCTCAGCTGTCTCTAAAGCCTTAGGTCTCTGGATCTGGCTTACTAGCTGAAACAGTAACGGGAAAATAGCTTTCCTCTTCTGTCTTCTAAATATCTTGAAAATTCATCCAGTTGATTGCAGGGGAGACTATAACAGTGTAGTTTTAGGTTTTTCAAACTTTCCTCAGCATCACAAGGGACAGAGAATAGAGAATTAGAAGGAAATCATTGTGTTAGGATGGATGCATTAATCACCATGTCAGTGGACTGGGGAAAATTGAGAAGTCTTCTAGGTAAGAGACATAGGAGACCAAAAGTAACAGTTATGTGATAGAGGAAATTGCTAGAATGACAGTGACATCTGGCACTGGACAGAGTGGAGGATTTAGGGTTCCAGTGAATGAATCTTTGCCATTGAGGAGCTTCGGTTTATAGATTAGACATGAAACTTCTTATGCATTGTAATAAAGGCTTCCTGGATCATTCTAAAGGTTTGCTTGATATCTTGAGGTTTCTAGGATTCTCTTGCATGTAGCCTTTAATTCCTAACATTTTTTTTTGACATAGCATTTCACACTGCCCTAATATTCTTAAAAATATCAGCTTTCCATAGGAAAGAGGATTTGCTGTGACATGGGGAAGCTGGAAACAGAGAGATGTTCAGGGAGGTGCTGATTCTGTTTTATCTTTGCAAATTAGGATGTGGTTGTGATGATGCTGATTAAGTTCAAGAGCTAAAAGAACCTGCTGTTGGAAAACATATATTAATTAGTGTGGCGAGAATTAGCAGGTTTTTGTTGTTCAGTTTTGGCACATCTTCCTTCTGTACATCCTACTAGGAAAACATGGGGCTAATGAAAAGACTTCTTTGGCACCATGTCGAGCTTTAAGCATGTTTATGTTCCTGCCAATCAGACATCTCAAACACACCTTTTTTACTTGTATTTTTTCCTTTTGTATTAGCATTTTTTCCCCTTTCCATATAGAGAGAGACCTTTAGTTCTACATTGTGGTTACAAATTAAAATACCTAGTACTTACAATGCTGATTATTCATTCTTGATTTTCAGGTCGTTGCAAGACATGAAGATTTATTGGCACAAGCAACTGGAATTGAGTCTTTGGAAGGTATGTTTCCATTAACTGTTACACTTTATATAGAGCTTGCCTAGGGCTTGGTAACTTTTCTTGTGAAGGATCAGAAAGTAAATAATTTGAGACTTTGCAGGCCATATTATCTCTGTTACAACTTGTAAACTGCTGTTACAGAGTGAAACCAACCGAGTAATATGTAAATGAATGTGTGTGGTTGTGTTCCAACAAAACTTTAGTAAAACTTTGAGGTTTTATTAGCATGTGTGTCCGACTTTTCGTGACCCTATGGACTGTAGCTTGTAAGGCTGCTCTGTCCATAGGATTCTCCAGGCAAGAATACTAGAGTGGGTTGCCATGCCCTCCTCCAGGGCATCTTCCTAACCCAGCGATTAAACCTGTCTCTTACGTCTCCTGCATTGGCAAGCAGGTTCTCTGACCTTTAAGCTAAATTCTCTGGATTTAAATCATTGCTTAGCCTCCTACTAGATGTGTGAGTTTGGACAAGTTACTTTCTGTGCCTGTTTTATCCATAAAGGAGTGTTAATATGTACTGATATGGTGCTAATTTGAGTTAACAAAATGCTTAGAACAATTCCTAGTGCATATTTAGTGCTTTTATAACTGAGTTAATGAAAATAAGCAGAGAATTCCAGTGATTAGAGATTAGGACTTTGCAATTTCACTGCTGAGGGTGCAGGTTCAATCCCTGGTCAGGGAACTAAGATTTGGCAAGTCACATTGTGGGGCTGAAACCACTGCGCCCCCCCCCCCCCAAACCCCAAACAAAGTCAGCTCCACCGAAGTAGTGGAACTAGGCTTCAGTTCTTTCATTATGTTTGATTTCTTTGAAGTGCTTTTCAAAAATGAAAGTATAGTAGAATAATGCATTGGATTTTTATTGTGAATTCTTCTGTTTTTGTTTGACTACTTCTTTTATGAATTTTTCATTCTATTAAACTACATCTCATAAATATGAAATGCTAATACTGTATTTTCCATCACTAGTTGTGTTGTGATTACATTATTAATCACTGCACATCAAAAGAAAGCTAAATGATTTTTCCTTTGTTGAATTCTTGAGGAAGAAGGATATTGCCTTTTGTGAGGCAATATTTTTTAATGCTTCCCCAGTATTTCTTACACACACTCATAGGTATTATTCTCAGTATGTACACTGTTTCTAATGCATCCTGATGAAGAACATAGTATTTTAAAAATAATAGTTTGTGTGTTACTTGAATATTTAGGATAGATACTAGACTATGGGAAAATTAAGAGGCACTGACTTACTATTGGAAATTAATTTTTTTAATCTAATAGTATTTTATAAGATTCTAGAAGCAAGAAACAATACCTTGTTTTTAATGGTAATTTTTGTAAACAAATGATAAATGATATTTTTCCTTTATAAAAACTTTAGGGATGTTGTGGTAGTATGTTGATTTTGAGTGTAAATATGTGTAGCTAAATCATCACAACAAAAATACTTCTTACTGTGATTTTCGTACATATGCTTAGTTCTTTTTATTTTTTTTAATTGACTGCCTCATGCAGCTTGTGCGATCTTAGTTCCCCAACCAGGGATTGAACCCTGGGCTATGGCAGTGAAAGTGCTGAATTCTAATTGTCACAGTCTGTGCATGGATTGGAAGATAATTTTCAGACATGAGGCAGATTGAAAGAATAGAATTTATAACAGTGGGAGACACTTAGAACAGCAGGCCAGCTCAAGGGTGAGCTGATGGCTTTTGTGTGCTAGTAACCAATTTTATAGCCTCACGACCAAGTTCTTACTGGAGGCATTAGGTGATTATTTAGGGTGCTATAGGGAGGTTTGCAGAATCGGACATGACTGAGCACAGCACAGGGTGGGAATTTTTTTTTTTAATCTAATATGAGGTCAGGGAACTGGAGCTGGCTGGTTTAGATGGGTGGAGGCTCATGATGACAATTGCTGTGGGGCTTGGTCAGTTCCGGAGATGACCTTGGTACAAGGCTCCACATGTGTGACCTTGGTCAAAGGCTTTACACCAGTGACTTTGGTATAGAGCTCCACATTAACCATTGGACCGCCAGGTAATTCCCTATATGTGTTAAGTTCCTTAGTGTGCTGATTTTCCCCGAATGCTTTTCAATGATTACAACATTTGAAATATGCTATTTGACTGAGTTAGAATGATTATCCATTAGATGAGAGTATACAGTACAAAGGCTGACTTCTGTAAATTCCTATGATAATCTAAAAGTATTCTCCAAATTATTTGAACATAAGAAGTCAAGGTATGAATCAGTATTTATTTTAGCATGATTTGTATTTCTAAGCATATTAAAATTTTTGAGACGTGTGTTATGTATTTGAAATGAGTATTGTCCCAGCTTTTTACTTCATCTGCTTTTTCTCCTATATATTTAAAATTTTGTGTTATACAATTCATTTGGAGGTATATTTATTTAGCCTATTTTATTAAAATTTACATTCTCATAGAAACTAACAACGTGGTTGAGCAACTACACTCCAATAAAATTAATTAAAAAAGAAAACATTCAGTAAAATCTACTGTGCTTTATCTCCTAAAATGAAATAAAAGTTACTCTCTCTGTTCTGTTCATTTATTCATTTAAATTTTAATTGAGAATTTGCTAGATCCCAGGCACCTGTATCCTTATAAAAAATCCCTGTCATTATGGAGGTATGTTTAATTGTGCGTGCATGTGTGCCTGTCATTTGCTTAGTTGTTGCCAACTCTTGTGACCCGTCGGAGTGTAGCCCGCCAGGCTCCTCCGTCCTTGGGGTTTCCCCAGCAAGAATACTGGAGCAGGTTGCCATTTCCTCCTCCAGGGGATCTTCCCGACCCAAGGGTTGAACCCACATCTCCTGCATTGGCAAGAGGCTTCTTTACAGCTGAGCCACCCAGGAATCCCAGTTAAGCCTCTTTAATTAAAAAGAGATTGCTTAATTTATTAACTTATTTGCTCACTCAGTAATTGAGAAATTGTTAGATACCAGGCACCTGTGAACAACAGCCAAAGTCACTGTTCATGTTATATTTATGTTCTAGGTAGGAAATTAGACCAAAAAAATACGTTAGTAGGAAACTTCAGGTATTTGTAAGTTCTAAAAGAAAATAAAATAGACGATGAGATAGAAGGGGAGTCCCTTACTAGCTAGGATGAGCAGGGGATGTCTCTTTGAGAAGATGACATTTGAGTTGAGATCTGAGTGATGAGAAAGAGCTACTGCATGATTCTCTGGGGAGAAGGGTGTGGTAAGCTGAGGGACCAACAAATGGAATTAGTGTGGCATGTTTGAAGGAAAGAAAGAAGAGTCTAGTATGATTTTAATCATACTTTTAAGTTTAGTGAATGAGGCAAAGAAATTGTAGATGAGGTTCTTGGAAAGGAATTTTGATTTTCATTCTAAATGCAATGGTAAGCCATTGGAGGAATTTAATTAGAGATATGTGATTAATGCTCTAAAATGTGTGTTTTTTTTTTTTTTTTTTGGTAGTGGTTTTTGCCATACATTGACATGAATCAGCTATGGATTTACCTGTGTTCCTCATCCTGATCCCCCCTCGCACCACCCTCCCCATCTGGTGGTTCTGTAGGAAGGCAAGATTGTAATCTGGGGTTCCCATTTAAAAGTTACTAGCGTAATAGAAGTTGGTGGTGCCTTGAATTAGAGTGGTGGATGTAAAGAGAGACAAGTGGGTGGTATAAGACGGGAATAGAGTTGATAGGATTTGTTGATGGGAAATTAAAGGTCTGAGGGAAGAAAACTCACCAAGAGTGATTCCCAAAATTTTAGTCTGAAAAATTGGATAGATGATGGTATAAGTAACTTGAGATGAGTTAAACTGGAGAGGATCATGACTTTGGTTGGGGCACATGTTATCTTGGGTGTCTTAAACTTGTCATGAGAAAGTTCTGAACTAAAGAGTTGTGGTGTGTGTATGTGTGTGTATAGTTAGGCAGATATAAAGAAAATATGGATACATGTAGATATGTGTATATCTCAAATCAGTATTTTATTGAATAGATTGAGATTTCATTCATACCCCATGTTTTAAATATTAAGAGAGACTCTGGATGGAGAAGAGAAGATGACTGAGGACCACCTCTGGGAGTACTCCAGCATTTAGAGATCGAATGGAGAAGGAGTAGGAGCAATTACTGTGATCGGAAGGAGCCCAGGGGGTGTGATGATTTGGAAGACTAGAGTAAAACATGTTTTAGGGAGGGAGTGGTTCAACATGAAATGAATTTTTGAGAGTTTGAACAGGATCAAGACAGAATTGATAATAGAAATTGGCACCTTGGAGATTTCTGGTGACCTTGACAAGGTCTGTTTTAGTGGAATATGTGTGAAAGCTTTCATGAGTTGGTTGTGGGGAGAAAACATGTAAGGAAGTAATGATAACTAAGAAGGCCAGTACAGTCTTGGAGATTTCAGGTCAGTGAACCATAAAGCCAGCAGAAAAGCATAATCTCTGGGTCCAAAAAGGATTCTATTGAACTGAGCCAAATTAAAACATATTTGTATGCTGATAGGAATATTAATTAACCTTAAAATTGCCTCATCTAATATGTGACATTCTTTACTTAAATTTATTTATAGAATGCTGTTTTAAAACTACAGCTATGTCAGTTGAATATAGAAACTGAGTTTTAAAGAATGGAGTTCAAAATAATTAGATCTGTAATACTGGAAAACCCATTTTTAGGCATATAAATAGTCAAATTTAAGATCTGTCTTCCTGAAAACAGTTCTACAATTTTATAAATAGTTCTTCATCATGTTGTATAAACAGAGAATAAAGGCAATAATATACTTGCTCTCCGTATATATTGTTTCTCTATAATCGGTGATCAGAGAGAGTATACCAGGAGCAGAGTACGTCACCCAAATTGTTCAGGGCCTTGGAGATCAAGCTGTGGACTTTAGTTTTAACCTAGGAATGAAGGGGAGACTGTGGATAGATTTTAGCAAATGAGTGTTAAGATATAATTTACACTTCCAAAGATCACTCAGGCTTTTTTTGTGTGTGTGATTATAGTACAGTACACATTAACAATGGGTTTCCCTGGTAGCTCAGCTTATAGAGAATCTGCCTGCAATGCAGGAGACCACCATTCGATTCCTGGGTCAGGAAGATCCCCTGGAGAAGGGACGGGCTGCCCTCTCCAGTATCCTTGGACTTCCCTGGTGGCTCAGCTGGTAAAGAGTCCGCCTGCAATGCAGGAGACCTGGGTTCCATCCCCGGATTGGGAAGATCCACTGGTCAGAAGGAAACGGATACCCACTCCAGTATTCTTGCCTGGAGGATCCCCCATAAACAGAGGAGCCTGGCAGGCTACAGTCCATTGGGTCACGAAGAGTCTGACATGACTGAGTGACTTTCATTTTCACTTTTCACACATTAACATGGAATTTACCCCTTTAATCATATTAATGCTAATTCAGTGCTATTAATACGCATCACTATCCAGTTCCATATTTTTTTCATCACTCCAAATGGAAACCTTGTAACCATTAAGTAGTCACTCCCCATTCCTTGTGGTGGCACTAGTGGTAAAGAACCTGTCTGCCAATGCAGGAGACACAGAGACTTGGGTTCGATCACTGGGTCTGCAAAATCCCCCGGAGGAGGGCATGGAAACCCACTCCAGTATTCTTACCTGGAGAAATCCCATGTTCAGAAGAGCCCTCTGGGCTACAGTCCATAGGATTGTAAAGAGCTGGACATGACTGAAGCGACTTAGCGTGTGTGCACCCTATTCCTTGTAAGACCTCTTTAGTGAAGTAAGATTTGGAGTAGGGGAAGACTAGTTAGAGGTTTTTGAATAGTCTCGGTGAAAGATATGGTTCAATTATGATGATAGCAGAAAAAAATGGAAAAAATTTTCAATTTTTTCCTTTTAACTTTTTACCCAACTTGAAACCCTTGTAAATTTGTAAAGTAATGTAAGCTATTATGTTTTCCTAGGTGTCCTTCAGATGATGCAGACAAGAATTGGGGCTTTACAGGGAGCCGTTGATAGGTACTGTTTTTCATTTTGTAAATAAGTGAAATGGAAAGATTTTTATCCATTGATATTTTGAAGACGATATTATCTCTTTTCTTTTTGTTTTTCCTTTAGGATGAAAGCAAAAATTGTCGAGCCATACAATAAAATAGTAGCCCGTACTGCTCAACTAGCAAGACTTCAGGTAGGTCCTCATTTGTCATTTCTTTGTAATTTTAGTTCATTTTGTCTTTATAAGGGGATAGATTTCAAAAGAAGAATTCTGAGGAAGTAAGAGAATATGAGAGAAAAAGAAAATATTCAAGTGCTTTAAACGAAGATGTTTGGTTTAAAAAATACAAATCAAAACCACTATTCAAGTGAATTATTTTCACTCTTATTATTATAGTGTATAATCATTTCACTAACTTTTTAGAATTCAAAATTATTTCTCTTGATAGAGAACAGGAAGAAACCTAACTTTTATCCTTACAGTTTTCTGTGGTCAAATGTAAATAACCTAGTCATTTAACTTCTATAATAGATGGTTGCTGTTCAGTCATTAAGTACTGTTGACTCTTTTAATCCATGGACTGCAGCACGCCAGGCTTCCCTGTTCTTCACTGTCTCCCAGAGTTTGCTAAAAAACTTTCATCCATCAAATCAGTGATGCCACCCAGCCATCTCATCCTCAGTTGTCCCCTTCTCCTCTTGCATCAAGGTCTTTTCCAGTGAGTTGGCTTTTTGCATCATGTGGCCAAAGAAATGGAGCTTCAGCTTCAGCATCAGTCCTTCCAATGAATATTCAGGGTTGATTTTCTTTAGAATTGACTGGTTTGATCTCCTTGGAGTCCAAGGGGCTCTCAAGTCTTCTCCATTACCACAACTTGAAAGCATCAGTTTTTCAGCACTTAGCCTTCTTTATGGTCCAGCTTTCACATCCATATGACTACTGGAAAAACCATGGTTTTGGCTATACAGATCTTTGTTGGCAAAGTGATATCTCTGCTTTCTAATACACTGTGTAGGTTTGTCATGCTTCTCTTTCAAGGGGAGCAAGTGTCTTTTCCTTTCCTGGCTTCTGTCACCATCTGCAGTGGTTTTGGAGCCCAGTCACTGTTTCCACTTTTTCCCCATCTGTTTGCCATGAAGTGATGGGACTGGATGATGTGATCTTAGTTTTTTGAATATTGAGTTTTAAGCCATCTTTGAACTTTTCTGTTTCACCCTCATCAGGAGGCTCTTTAGTTCCTCTTTGCTTTCTGCGATTCAAGTGATATCATCTTCTTATCTGAGGTTGTTGATATTTTTCCCAGTAATTTTGATTTCAGTTTGTGATTCATCCAGCCCAGCATTTCACATGATGTACTCTGCATAGAAATTAAATAAGCAGGGTGGCAGTATCAGCCTTGACATACTTCTTTCCTAATTTTGAACCAGTCCATTGTTCCATGTCCGGTTCTGTTTCTTTTTGCCCTGAATACAGGTTTCTCAGGAAGCAAGTTAGGTAGTCTGGTATTTCCATCTCTTTAAGAATTTTCCACAGTTTGTTGTGATCCACACAGTCAAAGGCTTTCACATATAATAGATATTTCAGTTTTTTTTTTTTTATATTTCAGTATTTTAAAAAATTAATTTTTTTGGTTGCGCTGGGTTTTCGTTGCTGCACGTAGGCTTTCTTTAGTTGCCGCGAGTGAAGAACACTCTTTGTCTTGGTGTATGGGCTTCTTATTGCAGTGGCTTCTTTTGTTGTGGAGCACAGGCTATAGGTGAATGGGCTTCTGAAGTTGCAGCACGCGGCTTCAGTAGTTACAATGCTCAGGCTTAGTAACTCCACGGCATGTGGGGTCTTCCTGGACCAGAGATCGAACCTGTGTCACCGTCATTGACAGGTGGATTCTTATCCACTGTACCATCAGGGAATTCCTACTTTAGTATCTTAATCTTTGCTCTTTTTAGGTCAGTTTTTGTCACTTGACCTTTCTTCTTGTTATGGGTTTTGTTTTTATGCTTTTTTATTTTTTTATGCTTCTTTGCATGCTTGGTATTTTTTTTATTTTATAGTGGAAAGGTGTGTTTTGTGTTCAGGGATCCTGGGTTTGAAAAATTTCCTGATGTAGTGTTGGACTCATTCTTGTTCATAGTTGAGTTACTTGAAATTAGTTTGATCTTTTTGAGGATTGGTTTTAAATCTTTGTTACTGTGGGTTCAGAGCATCTTAGCCTAGGGATAGTTTCAGTTCAGTTCAGTTGCTCAGTTGTGTCCGACTCTTTGCAACCCCATGAACTGCAGCATGCCAGGCTCCCCTGTCCATCACCAACTCCCAGAGTTTACCCAAACTCATGTTCATTGAGTTGATGATGCCATCTAACTATATCATTCTCTCTCATCCCCGTCTTCTGCCTTCAATCTTTCCCAGCATCAGGGTCTTTTCCAGTGAGTCAGCTCTTTGCATCAGGTGGCCAAAATATTGGAGTTTCAGCTTCAACACCAGTCCTTCCAATGAACACCTAGGACTAATTTCCCTTAGGATGGACTGGTTGGATCCCCTTGCAGTCCAAGGGACTCTTAAGAGTCCCAACACCACAGTTCAAAAGCATCAATTCTTCTGCGCTCAGCTTTCTTTATAGTCCTACTTTCACATCTATACATGACCAATGGAAGAACCATAGCCTTGACTAGATGGACCTTTGTTGGCAAAGTAATGTCTCTGCTTTTTAATATACTGTCTAGGTTGATCTTAACTTTCTTTCCAAGGAGTAAGCATCCTTTAATTTCATAGCTGCAATCACCATCTGCAGTGATTTTGGAGCCCCCCAAAATAAAGTCAGCCACTGTTTTCACTGTTTCCCCATCTATTTGCCATGAAGTGATGGGATCGGATCATTAAGATCATTTGCCATGATCTTAGTTTTCTGAATGTTGAGCTTTAAAAGCCAACTTTTTCACTCTTCTCTTTCACTTTCATCTAGAGGCTGTTTAGTTCTTCTTTACTTTCTGTCGTAAGCATGGTGTCATCTGCATATCTGAGGTTATTGATATTTCTCCCAGCAATCTTGATTCCAGCTTGTGCTTCTCCAGCTCAGCATTTCTCATGATGTACTCTGCATATAAGTTAAATAAGCAAGGTGACAATATATAGCCTTGACGTACCCCTTTTGCTATTTGGAACCAGTCTGTTGTTCCATGTCTAGTTCTAACTGTTGCTTCCTGACCTGCATACAGGTTTCTCAAGAGGCAGGTCAGGTGGTCTGGTATTCCCATCTCTTTAAGAATTTTCCATAGGTTGTTGTGTCACACAGTCAAAGGCTTTGGCATAGTCAATAAAACAGAAGTAAATGTTTTTCTGGAACTCTCTTGCTTTTTTGATGATCCAGCGGATGTTGGCAATTTGATATCTGGTTCCTCTGCCTTTTCTAAATCTAGCTTGAACATATGTTCATGGTTCAAGTATTGATGAAGCCTGGCTTGGAGAATTTTGAGCATTACTTGGTTAGCGTGTGAAATGAGTGCAATTCTGTGGTAGTTTGAGCATTCTTTGTTATTGCCTTTCTTTGGGATTGGAGTGAAAACTGACCTTTTCTAGTCCTGTGGCTACTGCTGAATTTTTCAAATTTGCTGGTATATTGAGTGCAGCACTTTAACAACATCATCTTTTAGGATTTGAAATAGCTCAACTGGCATTTCATCACCTCCACTAGCTTAGTTTGTAGTGATGCTTTCTAAGGCCCACTTGACTTCCCACTCCAGGATGTCTGGCTCTAGGTGAGTGATTACACCATCATCGTTATGTGGGCCTTGAACATCTTTTTGTATAGTTCTTCTGTGTATTGTTGCCACCTCTTCTTAATATCTTCTGCTTCTGTTAGCTTCCATACTGTTACTGTCCTTTATTGTGCCCATCTTTGCAGGAAATGTTCCCTTGGTATCTCTAATTTTCTTGAAGAGATCTCTAGTCTTTCCCACTCTATTGTTTTCTTTTATTTCTTGGCATTGATCACTTAGGAAGGTGTTCTTATCTCTCCTTGTTGTTCTTTGGAACTCTGCATTCAGATGGGTATCTTTCCTTTTCTCCTTTGCCTTTAGCTTCTCTTCTTTTCTTAGCTATTTGTAGGCCTCCTCAGACAACCATTTTACCTTTTTGCATTTCTTTGTTGGGGATGGTCTTGATCACTGCCTCCTATACCATGTCATGAACTTCTGTCCATAGTTCTTCAGGCTCTCTATCAGATCTAATCCCTTGAATGTATTTGTCACTTCCCCTGTATAATCGTAAGGAATTTGATTTAGGTCATACCTGAATGGTCTAGTGGTTTTCCCACATCCATGTTATAGCATGTGTCAATACTTCTTTCATTTTTGTGACCAAATAATCCATTGTATGGATACAGGACATTTTTGTTTATCCATTTATTTTACTTAACCATCAGTTGATGTTTGGGTTGTTTCCTCTTATTGGCTATTATGAGTAAGAATTCTTAGAAACATTTGTGTTTAAGTTTTTGTATGTACATTTTTTTAAATTGGGTATGTATCTGAGATATGCTGGTCATATGCTAACTCTATGTTTATTATTTTGATGTATCAAATCATATACATATGCCTAAACAGTATTATGTGTGCTCAGTTGCTCAGTTATGTCTGACTGTTTGTAGCCCTGTGGTCTGTAGCCTGCTAGGCTTGTATGTCCATGGAATTTTCCAGGCAAGAGTACTAGTGCAGGTTGCCATTTCCTTCTCCAGGGGATCCTCCCAACCCAGGGATTGAACCTGCCTCTCTTGCATCTCCTGCATTGGCAGGCGGATTCTCTACTACTATGCCTTGTATGTCAATTATATCTCAATACAGCTGGAAAAAAGAACATTTTGGGAGTGCCAAAGTGTTTTCCAAGGAAGCTGTACCATTTTACATTCCTATCAGCTATGTATGAGGGTTTCAATTTTTTCCTTTCCTGCCAATACTTCTTTTCTTTTTAATATAGCCATCGTACCAGTTATGAAGTAGCATCTCATTGTTTTGATACAAATTTTCCAAGTGACTGGTGATGCTGAGCATCTTTTGTTGTGCCTGTTGGTCACTGTGTATCTTCTCTGGAGAAATGTCTTTTCAAATCTTTTGGTCCCTTTTAAGTTATTTTTCTGTTTCCTTCCTCCCTCCCTTCCTTGTTACTTTCTATATGTGTCATATATGACTCAATTCTGTTCT